CCCTCGCAAAACCAAGCACCTACTTTCGACCGAAACAGCATCCGTCTTTGAGGACTCAACGCGCCATGAGGATTGTCCAGTACCGCAAAGTAGCCTCCCGCCTCGTCCAAGCCAACCCTCTCGACCCTCACGCCTTGCTTGAGCTCATGCGCCGTAGGCAAATTTGCCTCCCTCAACCAGGTATCACTCAGCGCAGCCATGGTGAGTTTGTGAACACAAGGTGCGTCCTCGGTCAGCCGCCCCCGATGGCAAGTGCAGCTGAGCTTGCCCAAGGTGTTCCACCAAACCTGCTCGAGTAGCGCGCGGGTCTTGTCCGGCTTTCCCAACGGCTTTGCCCGGCCGAAACCGTTGTGGTCCCATGCCGTCAAGTACGCCCTCAACGGTAGGGAACCACTCTCGGCTGGCAGCATCACACGGCAAGCTCCCTCTCGAATCAGACCAAGGTAGCGTGAGGCCTGGGCCTTTATGCTGTTTGTGGGAGTGGGCTCCTCTCCGTCGTTCGCTTCCTGCAAGGGCCGACGAGGTCGATAAGCCGCTTCTCTTTGCCACCAGGGATGTGAAAGACGATGCTGCCAAGGCTATCAAAGTCATGGTTTCTAAAGAGGGTCTTTAATTTGTAGCCCATCAATTCACAATCTGCATTGTTTTCGACTAGCTTGAGCACCATATAAAAGTCTCTAAAAGCCCGCTTCTTTTCACGATTCAATTCGCGCTTGCATCTCAAACAATTCTCACGTGCCTTACAACGCAATCGCTGCGTGCCACTCTCTGCCATAGCTAAAATGTTCTGATATCATATCAAGAAAATAATGATGGCACAAAGTGGCAGCTCACCGCGGTCCCCGGCACACCACCAATTCTCGCCCGCTCGCCCTTTGCAGCTCCCTTGTTGATAGCTTGCTCCGCTGCATTCAAGCGCGGCTTCTTGCGCACCACCGTTTTTTCATTTTGGCCCGTCAAAAAGGTGATTAGCTCATTTGAGAGCTCCAGACTTTGGGTCCAGAAGGTCCCCGCTCCATGACGCTGCATGATGAGTCCATCACCACCACCATCCCGTCTGCTCCTGATAGTGAGGCTGAGCCCGTCTTCACTCTCCGCAATAGTGCCCAGCAGCCTATTGATGCAGCTTAGGCAAACAACTTGCTTTGTTTGCTTCGACTTTGGCACCTCTGCACTAATCAAATAGCCTCTGTAGAGGCCGTTGCTCTCCTGTCCCTTCCGAAAACTCAACCGTAGGCAACCTTCCTTATCCTTGACCCAAAGCTGTTGTTGACAAGTGAGACACTTGACAGCAACACGTTCTTGACAACTTCGATAATGAACCCTAATCTCACCTGATGCTATGTGATCAAAAGTAGCTGGCTCCAGCTTTACCTTAGTGGGCTGCACACTACATGCACTATCAACTACCTTAGAGTTCATTGCCACCCCCCTTGCTTGATCCTAGGGCAGAAGCTTCCCCCTAAGTCAATGAGACACTCTCTCCTTGGCACATTCTACCTTGCTCCTCGGTCCGAATTTCCCGGGCCCTCTAGGTCTACGAATATGCCCTCAGATGCTCGATTCAACTCCCTAAGTTCGTCAACCGACCTCTACTCGGAGAATACCCTCCGATGCCCGGTCGCAAGTCCCTAAGTTCGTGCGATTCGACGCTCGGGCCTCGAATTTGACGATACATCTCGACGGGGGTGGTGACGTGGCAATCCTCTCCAGTATTATTTACCGGCAGTGGGAATCCGTCACAATCGTTGATGCATCTGCACCATCCGATCTGCATGGATCATTCTAGACCGTTCAGATAATGCTGAACTCTATTTGGTAGGCCCAACTTGAAGCCCAGCTGGCTGTCATGGCTGTTGCGGAGTGAATGATCGTCTGCCGCCTTCTGTTCCCCGGCAGGGACGTTCCCACTTCAAGTCTCCTGCATGACAAGAATGTCAATCCCGAGTAGTATTAACGAAAGTCACGTGTGAGGCAACTACATACATTGCAGCCTGCATACCTGCATTTGCCGCCTGCGCTAAGAAGAGCGAGGATGGACGTTCTAGAGCAGCAGACGTTTATCGACGTTTTCTGGTCATATGGTCAACTCGGGGTTAGCTGGTTAACCTGGGGCGGGTCTGGGCGGGTTTGAACATCACGCTGGCCCGTTCAGGTGGGCGGCTCTACAGGGTCTGACAAGTGGCGTCCTTGGAACTGTCGGACGTTTGATTTCCCAATTGCACCAATTTGGACGCAGTGCTTCGGATGGTAGGGTATAATGCCGTCTGCCGTCCGAGATCTGACGTCAACTGCTTACTTGGCACTCTGATCTGTAACCCGTCAATTGCGGAGCCCTTCTGTGACATGCACGTCAGCAAACCCAGTTGTCCCTCAACAGCTGGAGCTGGGCTGGCCGCTGAAGCTGATCTTCTTTCGGCTCCTTTCCTTCCTCCTTTCTCCTTCCTAGCGAACGTTGCTGCTGCATTTCGCAATTGCGAAAAGATTCAGCTCAGAACAGCACAACAGGCGACCACCACCTGCTAGACAGTTTCACCTTGTTCCTTGCGAAACAAGTTGACCAGTTTCTTAAGTCTTGCTTCTGCTCATCCCTATACTGAGCATTCGACCCTGTGACCCGGTTAGTCAGCAGTTATGGCGTTTTCAGCTGCAAGCAGGCTGGAATCAATTGTTTCCCCGAATCTTTGCTTCTCTTCTTCTCAAGGAAGCCGTACTGATGGGTCTGGCCGAAGGGTTTCAAATGCGGCGCATGCTGCCGCCACTTTCTCAGCTGGCAGCAAGCTGTGGATCAATGCACCTTGCAAAAGGGCTGGTGCAACACGAAGCTTGGGTGCGAGGGGTGCCAGGGCCAGCATTGATCCAGTAAAGCTGGCTGCAGACATCCAGCAGTCGCGGCCTACAGGCAGAGGGAAGGAGCTTGTTGGGGGTAAGTGCATAGCCATTGAAGATCTTCTCTGTTTCTTCACATGGTCAAGAAGCAAGAGGGGTGGTGGTACCTGGATATCTTGTGAGATTGCAATGCAATCAGTGCATTCTTAGGAGTCTGGTTCTGGTCTTCGCCCACTCTTATGGATAAACCCTTTGCATGCTGGTCCAGGTTCAGATTCTGAGATTGCTATGGTCCCAGCACTTGTGCTTGTTGACAGGGCTTAGCTTGTTGTTTCCGGAGGGGTTGTGTTTCGTTTGCTGAGATAGAAAATAACCATGGTCTGATCAATCTATGCAGCAGAAACAAACCAAGTGGTTGAAGTGCATAATTTTGAGGTCTCATCGGTCACCGCATGTGACGAGACCTGCTTGTCGTGTCCTTTGGATGACATTTTATGTAAACATTTCTTTCGCAGCTGGAGACTCCACATTGACACAACCAGGAATTCTTCAGTCTTCCATGGCTGAGGAGATAGATCAAATGGCAGAAGAAGGTCAGCCCCAGATTGTGTCCTTGCATCTGAGATGATGCCATTTAGATGTTTCAAGATGTTGGTCGAATCTGGACAATCTCACCCGTGTCCCTGACGTTGCAGATCACGTTCTTGAGATTCAGGATGATGGACATGCTTGAATATGTTTACTTTCATCATGGATTTTCGGAAAGCTGAACAGAAGTACCTCGCTGCAGGGAGCGTGTCGTCTGAGGGCAATCTTGCTCAGTCTGATGTCGAGCCAGCAGAGAGCCCTGCAGTTCAAAAGGCAGCAGACAATGCTGCGAGCAGCACTGGGGTGAGCTCTTTAGGACTTGTAAGTTTATGACCAAACCAATGGATTCATCAACAGGGACTCCGTTTCTCGACCACCGGTATGCAAATGGTTCCCATGCCATATGAAAATGTCAGAGGGGATTGAGCTTATTCCTCATAGGGAAACCTTGGGAAATAAGATGTGCTGCATTTGTAAAAGGTTGATGTGGAGGCTGCAGGATAACTCAAATCATAGTTCACAGGCAGGTGTTGAAAGGGATCTGCTGTTCTTGCAAGGCACTGGTTCTCTGCCATGGTCCTTTTACACGACAAGGCGTTAGTTGCCAATGATTCTTAATCAAAAGAGGTCATCCTTTGGTTTGCAGGATACATTCAAGGGGAGTAGGCTCATTTCAGCAGCCGATGGGCCGCAACCATCAGATGAGCCAGCTTACACGGCAGCCACCGAGAAGGTCGTCGATGTGGACGCTGAAAAAAAAGGGGTGTGTTGCATCTAGCTTTATGGCCTATGTGAACTGTCTGCGATCCCTATGCCCCTTCTAAAAGTAGTCATTGTGCATTAGCTCACTCGATAAGGTCAAGTCACGTCGTTTCACTAGGCTCATTGTGTTGAGCATAATCTGCTTCAATAGTCGCTAAAATGGGACTTGATCTGGCAAGCGGTTACCTCAGCCCAAAGACATCCTGGCTCAGGTCAATGCTGGAGGACAGTGAGCCAGCATTGCAAGTTCTGAGCTTGCTCGCAGTCGCGCACAATGATGATGTTGATGTTGGGTGAAGGAGCTTGCAGTGTTGCAGCCTCTCATGACCGTTCTGCCTGCTTGCTTGCAGGACCTTTTCCGTGGCAGCAAGCTGATTTCCACTGACGACGAACCCAGCCAAGGCGGCATGGAGCCAGCAGAGAGCCCCGCTGTGCAGAGGGCCACAGACAGCGCGGCAAACATGTCATCAGAAGGCAACCTAGCCCAGTCCGATGTCGAGCGAGCAGAGTCGGAGGCCGTCCAAGGAGCTGCAGATCGTGCGGCTGACATGTCTTCCGAAGGCAACCTTGCACAGTCCGATGTCGAGCCAGCAGAGTCGGAGGCCGTCCAAAAAGCTGCAGATCGTGCGGCTGACATGTCATCCGAAGGCAACCTTGCACAGTCCGATGTCGAGCCAGCAGAGTCGGAGGCCGTCCAAAGAGCAGCAGATCGTGCGGCCGATATGTCATCAGAGGGGAACCTGGCGCAGTCGGATGTCGAACCAGCGGAGACAGAGGCAGTGCAGAGAGCGGCCGACAGAGCGGCGGGGGGCGCTGAAGATGCCAAGAAAACTGCGAAGGAGGGGCTTGAGAGGGGCGCTGAAGATGCTAAGAACACTGCGAAGGAGGGGCTTGAGAAGGGCGAAAGAGCAGTGAAGGAGGGAGCGCAGAAGGGCGAGGAGGCCGCCAAGGGGGCTTTTGCAAAGATCAAGGAAGCAGCCAGCGGTGTAGCGGAAGCGGTGAGGGACCTGGACGACCCGGAGAAGCTGGCCAAGAAGATCCCGGAACCTGTCAAGGTGAGCTAAGACATCAAGAAGAGGCCTTGCAAAATCAGGGTGTAGGATGAAAGCCGCTGTTTTCCTAGTCTTACTACCTCTTTCTGGTTTGTTGGTCGGATGTCTTTAAAATGGAACCGTGTTAGCGAACCCTTCACTTTCGTCTCACGTTGATGCTGAGCCTCCATAAAGAAGGCAGATGATTGCTGCTTTGAAATGATTGTGAAAGTGGACACCTAAAGGATGAACTTTTTCGCAGTGCATTGCCAGACAATTGCCACGCGCTTGGCTTCTGTCTGGACGTTCCGTCTGGCAGCACAGACAATGCTGTATTGGTTCAATTTCGCCTGCAACCTTTCCCGTTCGCTTTGTAACCTTGAGCAGAATCGAGATTGCGGGCTTTGAACGGGTCCAAGAATTGCGTGCCGAAAAACAAATGGAATCAAAAGGGTGACCTTTGCGACTTCGGCTTTATAGGAGGGGCTGCTGGACGCCACGCTGCTGAAGGAGTACGTGCAGGAGAAGACCGGGAACCTGGTCCACGAGTTCAAGGGTCAGGTGGATGAGGCTAAGGTCGACGATAAGGCGAAGGAGGTGATTCAGGAGGCGAAGCAAGCTGTGGGAGGGGCCTCTGACTCTTTGAAGGTGCGGAGTGTGAATGGTCGCGAAGTTTTCAAGAAATTTCCTTGAAGGCGTCGGTATATTGTGCAGAAGACACCGGTGCGCTGATCTTTAATGCGGAAAACTTTCAGATCGTGTCGAAAGTTGAGTTTCAGCTCGACGACTGTGCTTTGCAATCGTACATGCAAGCTCGCAATTGCAGCATAAAGGCAGTGCGAGAATCAGGGCTGGCGTCTCAAAGTTGGTGCATGCGAGAGCGAATTACTATGATATAGTAGTTTCGGTAAGGGCCATCTTTCGCGTGAGCAACTACAACGGTTGAACGTCTGCAGGGAGAGTCGTCGGATCGGTACCACACTTCTCAGGAGGGTAACTTAGCCGAGTCCGATATTGCTCCGGCTGAGAGTGACGCCATCGAGCGGACTGCTGACGCCTTGTCGCACAAGGAGCGAGTACGGCATCACCCCCTTCTGGGTTATTGCGTTTCGGAAGTTGCAAGTTACGAGCGAGCCACAGCCGTGGTCTCGAGAAGGATAAGAGTCATTTGAAGAGTAATTAGTCTGAAGAAGGTCGTCCGCAGGGCAGCTTTATCGGGAACCTTTTCGAGAGCTGCTTTTTCCAGAGCGCTTTCTGCTTTCGAAGAATTACACTGTGCTTTTATTTGAGGACGGGACCCCATTGTAGTCCTCTTCATGATGATTAATTCTCACTTTTTATGGTTTGGGTATTGAAAAGGTGGAACGTTTCAAAACAAGCATGCACTTACAAAAGTCCGTTTCCGGTGCTCGCAGGGGAACGAGCGGACCAACGGGCACTCCACGTCCCAGGAAGGCAACTTGGCGGAGTCTGATGTGGCACCCGCGCAGAGCGACGCGGTGGAGCGCACCGCCGACTCACTCGCGCACAAGCAGCAGGTAGGCAACCCATGTTCGTCGCTTCAAAAGGCTAGTAGGTTCCTTACTATGGAGCGTGATCTTGGTTCGAGAACAGACCTAATGTAAGGAGGCGACGAAGTCAAACATGAAGATGTTATCTGCTACATCGTTTCTCTTGATTCTCAGCTTGTAGACGGTTTTTGACCGAATTCCCATGGATCGGCTCCACAGGAAGTGGCAGGGTGTGGGTGGAATTGATGGTCATGATTCTAGGGATATCTTTTCAGCGTCTGCCGTTTTTGCCTGTTCTGTTTACGTATGATCGGGCCGCGTACAGCCCAGCCTTGGAAAGCACGAACTCGTTCCCTCTCAAACCGCTCGCGCTCGCAAGGGTAGTCTCGATTCAGTCGTCCGCAGGGGCAGCGTTGCACGCAGCGCATCAGAAGTATCAGTACGTCTTTCAAGAGCTGCTTCTTCCAGAGCTGTTGACTTCTCTCAAAAGCTTACACCTCGGTTTTATTTTCGAGCACGGGAGTCCATCGTAGTCCTCCTCATGGCGATTAAGGTACTCATGTTCTGGCTGTTGAAAAGGTGATACTTTGAAATTAAGCATAATCCTTACAAATCGGTGCTCGCAGGGGAACGAGCGATCTAACGGGCACTCCACGTCCCAGGAAGGCAACCTGGCAGAGTCTGACGTGGCACCCGCGCAGAGCGACGCGGTGGAGCGCACCGCCGACTCACTCGCGCACAAGCAGCAGGTAAGCAACCCATCTTCATCGCTGAACTGGCAAGATAATCACCCAACGGTGTTCTGTCTTGGTTTGAAGACAGAAATCTCTTATTGTAGTCCATTGTAGTCTTCTTCATCACGATTAAAATCTTCAGTATTGCAAAGGTAATACCTTTTCGATGTTGATACGTTATAATAGGCATTTCCGGTGCTCGCAGGGCAACGAGCGGACGAACGGACACTCCACCTCTCAGGAAGGTTATCTGGCGGAGTCTGACGTGGCACCCGCACAAAGCGCGGCGGTTGAGCGCACCGCCGACTCGCTCGCGCACACGCAGCAGGTAGGCGGCCACTGTCGGTTGCTTCAACCGCTAGTACATTTCCTGATCTGATTGTTGATTTCTCTTTGTTTAAAAGGAAAATATATGCTGAGCTGACGAAGTCGAACACGAAGTTGTTGGCTGCTACATCTTTTGCTCAATTGTAGCCTGTTGACAGGATTCACCCGATTTTCATGAATACCAAGCATGTAGACGGTCTTTGGCCTCACTTTATGGATGAGCTCCAGAGAACTTGGCAGGGTGTTGGGTGGGGTTGATGATCATGATTTTGGGGACATCTTTGCAGCGTCTGCGTTTTCATCTGTGCTGCTTAATGTATGATCGGTCTGCGTACAGCCCGTTTTCAAAGCACTGAAAACCTGTTCCTCACAAAATGCTCGCATCATGAAATCAATTCAGTCGTGGAATCCCAAGTGCATCTCACCGCGGCTGCAGTCCGGCGCGGCGGCCGTCGATACCTCCCCGTCTTCGCGCGAGGACGCCGTGAAGACACGCGTCCAGCAGAAGCTGGGCCCCACGAGCACCACCGATGAGATCGGCTCCAACAAGCACACTCTAGAGGTTATCGAAGCGCATGAGAAACTCAAGGACGGGCAGAAGTTGGGACGGCCCGGAGCCGTTGGATTCCAGAAGGAGACCAAGGAACGGACGGCTACGAACGAGGCGTCCAAGAAACTAGAGGAGGCGAAGTCGGTCGGCCGGCACGCGGCAGCGGTGTTCGAGGGCGAGGCGAAAGAGAGGGTGCAGAAGAGCAGCGGGAACCAGTACAAATGATCCCGTTTGGTTGAATGAGGGAAGCGGATTAGGGTTTGCATCGAGTGATGAGTCCTTATCTGAATAAAATAGCAAGCGTAGGAGGAGAAGCAGATTTTGACCCGTGTTTGGATTCTCCAACGCTGCATTTTCGGAATATCATTTTTGTTCACTGATAACTTGGACAAAGACAAATTTCTGACAGGACATCTGAATTCGCGTTTACTCCCACGGGCATGAAAGCCGCACAGATGGATTTGGAAGGTGACGAACACTCTCGATCGGGATCCTTCCAAGGCGTTGTAAATTCTGGGCGTCCTTTTGCAGACGTGTGGGGGCAGAGCGGTGGTGGGCTGACCATTGTGCTCAACGGATGTTGATACTCTTAGTCCCAAGTTTGCCCCCATTTCCGTCAGAAGGGTCTAAGAAAGGTCTAACTTAGCTGCGAGTAGCAGTAGTTTCCTGCACACTTCGTTAACCATTCAAGATAAGCTCAGGCGAGCACTGGCCAATTCATCTGTGTGATTAGTAGCGAGTTCCCCGATTGTTGATGTGCCTGCTAGGCAATTCTTCATAGCAACAATCATCGCAGTACACATTATCGGTACTCTAGTACAGCTTACCATGCAAGGATCTCGATCATATGCATGCCATGATGCCAGACCTCATTTTGAGATTCCTCGGAGCCTAATCTCCCGATTCGTGCCAAATAACTTCATGAGGTTTTGGTCACTGATGTCCCGACTCTCCTGAACATGGTTCTTCAATGGAATTTGAAAATGCAGAACGTCTGCTCCAAAACTTTTGCCATTGGCATCGATCTTGTCAGGTCTGTACCTTCGATAGGACGCATCACCGGGAGGCTGGGCCCCTGAGCAGACATGCTGGCCAAAATCATGTCGAATGGCATCTTCCTTGAGCCATGTGGCCGGCCCGTGCATGCAGGCTTGTGTGACCTTCAGCGTGCGTTGACTGCAGATTGCGCATTCTCATGCATATAAGCGTTTGATCGTTGCACTCGGGATTCGGATCACATGCTGAAACGCGCTAGCTAGCTTCTTGCAGCGCAAGGTCTGGCTGAATCCTCGTGATGATCTTTTTTCCAAAACGTCGTAGCCACATGGTCTATAGGCTTCCCTGACATACATGGGGATCAATGTCTGAGGTGCGAATGCCTAGCTAACTTACCCTAGGCCGTATCTCAGGTGTGCTACATTTGATCAACATTACTAGATTCAAAGGGGTCGCGTCGCCGCAGGCTGTAACGAAGATCAGCTGCGCGCGCGGTATGTCAGCGACTGAGTATCGGCAGGTCTGTACAGAATGCAAGCGACTCGTCACTTGAATAGCGGATGCACATAGAGAAGCTGAGCGCCATGGCTTGTGAACGCATGAATGCTGCAGTTGTCAGGCAGCTGCTTGCGGTCAAGGCTGCATGTCGTTGCTGCTCCTCCTTCCCCAGCGCTTCCTTTTGGTATTCCTTTTTCAGCCTTCCAAGGACCTTTGGTAGGGATGAGCCTGCTATTGTAGATGACGCTTTTTCCATCCACTTCGAAAGCAAGTGATTGTGTGCCTGCCGTCAAAGCTCAAGCAGGCGTAGAAGATGAGCGTTGATCTTTCATGCACCGAAATGGCGCGTTAGGAGGAGAAGTCACAGAAGTTACGCTGTAAGGAGGAAAGGTGCAGTCATGGAACAGCTTGTCGAGCAGTACGCTGCAATTCTCATGTCAGATGAACCAGCTACGATATGTGAAACCATTAAAGGCTTGGAGGAGCTCAAGCCGCAAGGTGAAGAGAACATTGTTGCAAGGGTTAAGTACTCAAGGCTGCTTCAAGAGATTTTGGCCTACAAGGGCGGCGCACTTGTGAAGAGCATTCTGCGGAAGGCCGTTAACTTCACGGCCTCAACAGACACTTCTTCCGGGAGTCTTACAATCGATTTAGACGCTTGCCTGAAGCTGGTGGCTCTAAGCGACAGTCAATTGATTGCAAGATTTTGCTTGCAAGAAGTGGAGGATAAGCTCTTGCTTGTTGCAGCACTCATGGGCGCGCATAAAGCTTTCATGGAGTCATCAGAAGATTCCAGCTGCATCGAGCTTTACTTTGCACTACTTGCGCTGAGGGGCATCGTCAACTTTGCCAGAGCTTCAAAAGCTTTCTGCCGCACTTTGCAGGCAGCCCACAATCTGTTCCCAGCATTCGAGCAGCTCCTTGATAGAATTGCGACGATGGAGTCAGTCCCGTCAAGGGTGCTAGACGGGGCTGCAGATGATACCATGAGGCTAATAGTTACCTTCGCACTCTCAGAAGGATGCCAGGATTGGGCAATCGATCGGGGTTTGATCAGACTTCGAGCAGCGACGATGAAGTTGGCTTTGAAAGGCGACGCCATCGAGCAGCGTTTCAAGGACAGAATTAAGGCGGGATCTCGCCAGAATGTGAAGCAACCCGCAGAGATTCGTGCTTATCTTGAAAAGTCGGCGCAGGGAATTCTTGAGATCGACAGACAGATCCAGGATCCCAAGACGGAGAAGAAAAGATCGAAGAAGCTCCGAGCTGGCTTTCTTAGGAACATCAGGGAGAAGATGTGCTTGAGCGACGATGCGAAGGATCTTTCCGCAAAGTTTTTGGCAGCACGGGCAAACGGTCGCATTGACGCTCCTGTTGTGTGTTCTTGGGACCTGTGCGATGCAGGGACGGCGTTGGACGCCGGCAAGCCTTACAGAAAATGCGCGAACTGCTCACTCGCTATCTACTGCAAGTGACTTACGCTTGTCAGGACCAGCTTCTTTACAGCCTGATACCAGTAAGAATGTTTGCAAGAATGTCTGCCATCTTTCCAGGCAAGCTGTAAGGGCAAAGTCTGTTGGTCAAAACCACGTCTTCGAAGTATGTGGTGTTATCTTGGACAAAACGAAGTTGCAAGATGCTGCTGACTTTGCGACCGTGCCTTTTCTTTCTATCTTCTCAATTAATAAGCACCAGTTCATGCGAGGATCCGCGAGCGTTGCTCTGGTTGATGCGTCTCTTAGGATTCCGAAAATTGCTGTCACTCTGTTCGTGAGCCGCTTGTGCTACACTTAGAACCCCCTTCAACTCTTTCTTTAGCTCTATCTTGCATTGTTGCGGACTGCATCTAGTTCAGTTTGTTCATATACAGGCCGCCTTCGCTTTTAAATATCCACTTCAGACTTCAAAGCGCGCTTCTTTCTGAGGCGGAGCATTCACATCCTTCCCCTGATTGCTGCAGCAAAGAACATCAGAAGATGCACTGGAAAACCCACAAGAAGCACTGCAAGCAGGCCAAGAATCGAGGAGAGAGTGATCTTGTCGTCGCCCCTACCAAAACCGCCGCTGCGAATGAGCGCACAGCCTACTCACAAAGGCAGCGGGTAAATTTAATCGTTCCTTTCCTTTCTGAACATTAATTTGAATCTTTTGAAAACCTGCTTGCGCATCTTTGAGGTCTGTCGCAAGGAAGTCAGATTGGTTCTCTCAATCGTTGCCTTTCGAAGAAGAAAATTTTCCGCTTTCCTCCAATAAATGCTGATTTATCTGAGGTTACGAGACGGGTCTTCTCGACCACCTTTCAGAGAACCGTCACCTGGTCGATCGTAGTTACGGAGAAGGACGCGTGTCAGTATTCTGAATCCAAAATAAATATCCATCCGGTATCAAGCTTGGTGTCAGCCAGGTCCTGCTTCTCGTCAAAAGAAGCCGACCTTGCCCCAATATTTTGACTCATTCATGTGGTGCTTCTCCTTCATGAAGAAAACCGCTCTGGTGCTTGCAGCCTGCTGCGGCCGCCGACGCTTCCTCTCCGCGCTTCCTCGAGGCCGCCGTGAGGACACGTGTCCAGCAGACGCTGAACTCTGCGAGCATTACCGACGACGACCGCTTGAACACGCACGCTCCGGAAGTTCTCAGTGCAGAGGACTGAGAACCTTTCAGTCAGCTTTCAGTGGGCGTAGGATCCAGGAGCGGAAGTGCGCCCAGATCAGTCCTGTGAAACTGTCATATTGATCTCGACATCTCATACGTGTAAGCGCGCGAAAGACGAAGTCAATAAATTGGATATTGCCATAGCGCCCATGAAGGGTTTTGCGGCTTTCTGGTAAGGAGTTCAATCAAGAGGTGCAAAGCTGTCTGCTACGTAAGAGCCTGAGCCTCTCAGAGTTAGGCTCTTATTGTCCCGACAGGCTGAGACTCTTTGAATCATTCTTGGAAGAAATGCGCATGCCTCGTTATGAAGACTTATCTGCAGAAGAATCACGCCGCTGGACGGACCACGGATCGAAGGTTTGTGGTATCCGGTCCTCATGACTGCTTTCGCGGCAATGCATGTTACTGGCTGAAACTTGATAAGCCTCTTGAACTTACCCTGCACGTACGTAGTGAATCTAAACCTACGTTTTATCCATTATGAAGGGTAGTGGAAAGAAAGCTCTCTTGTATCCTGGTTTTCATGATATAAGTCCGCGATACTTATGATGTTCCGATCCCACAAGCGATCTCAGACAGCAGTCAACAGCAGATGCGGAACAGCTAGTAAATAGCGGAAACCGCGTGTGGCGTACTTGAATTTTCCAATGGGGTCTCGCTCAAGTGCATGTGAGCTGAAATGTCCGGGGCGAAGCGTGGGGTCTTTGCGCAGCTTCTACACCTGAGTTCGACAATGAAGCGGTCCTGGCCTTCGAAATTCACATGATAGTGAGTTTTCCGCCCAATCTACCAGTGGTCTGGAAGTGTCTGGAAGTACCTTTTCTGACCAACTGAGCTGAACGGATCCCTCGGGTGACTTGGGCCACTATCTCGAAGAGGAAGCACACCTGGGGGTTCTGCCGGGCAGCAAACCCCGGTCACTGCGCTTGAAAGATCGGGTAGGAACAGTGCCCGGGAGGAGTCCTCTACAGAGCACTTCTTGATCGAAATCTGGAAGACTGACGTTTCGAGGCGGTACGCCTTATCTTGCGCGCCGCGCACCGGAAATTTTCTGAGGCCTTCATCCTGAGACATGAGGCTGAGTTTGCAGCCTGCAATTTCCAGAGCGTTTGAAGGTGGCATGCGCGATGCGCCAGACTGCTGCTCGGGCAGCCTTCTTCCAGCTTCTTGTACGCTGTCCGCTACATCTTTCTTCTCTTGCTGAAAGTAGATGCTGCGCTTAGGTAGCCCTTGCTGAACAAGTCTGCAGTCTAGACTGACATGCAAGCGAAGAACTCATGATGACACGCAGATGGATTCAGAAAGAGACACTGTAAGCATGGAGCACCTTGTAGACGAATACGCTTCGGAGCTACTTTCCGATGATCCTGTTGTAGTCTGGACGGCAACCAAACGGCTGCTGGACCAGCGTCTGATCCTTCTGACCACAGATTACAGCCCCTCTGCAAGGGTTGAGCACTCGAGATTGCTCCAGGAGCTCCTAGCGTTCAAGCGCGGCGCGATTGTGGCAAGAGTACTGGAAGTTGTGCTTGGTATGAGTTACCATAGAGAATGCTCAGCAACAGAATTCTGGCTTGATCTGGTTTCCTGCCTGTCCTTGGTGGCGCTTACAGAGAACCAACTAGTTGCACGCTTCTGCGTCCAAGACGAGGAGAGAGCAAGAAAACTTGCTGGTTTACTCATGAACACCTATAAGACTCTAGTGGAAGTGGAGGAGACCGACAAGAGAGGCCCTCTTTTGTCCAGCGCTCTGATCAGGGGCTTCGTAAATCTTTCTAGAACTTCGAAGGCATTTCGTAGAGGAGTGCAGGAGCTTCAGGATCTGTTCCCCGCCATTGAGCACCTTCTTTCAATAGGCATTGCAGGTTCGTGTCCAGCAAAGATTCTCTCAAGTGTTCTGCCTGACATCATCCAGCTGATAAACATATTCATACTCTCGGAGGAAACTCAACAGTGGGCTCTTGACCAGGGTTTGATGAGAGTTCACGCAGCTGTTGACACACTGCTTATGAGAGATGTTTCTCTCCAGGAAGGGCTGCAAGGTTCAAAAGTCAGCAATCCCGATCATGCTGGATCAGCACGGTCCCGAAGTATACTTGCAGGTCATGCACAGCAACTCCTTGCAAATGACAAACAGATGAGGAGCCCCGAGACTGATAAGGAGACAGCAAAAGAGTTGCGAGATAAGTATCTGAAGCTTATGAAGAAAGCGGTATTCCTCCATGGCAAGAGTCTACAAAAACCATCTGCCAAATCTTGGGCAACCGGTCGCATTGACACGCCTTTGGTTTGCTCCTGGGAGCTGTGCGACGTTGGTCCGGCCCTGAATGCTGGCAGGCCCTTTAGCAAGTGCGCTGACTGCTCACTCGCTCTCTACTGCTGGTAAGAAACTACCTGATCAATGCTTAACAAATGCTTAACGTGCTTTCATTGTCAAAATCGATCTTATGTGACCCAATATAGTTGAAAATTTGTTTACAGGCAACTTCGAATGTAAAAGCGATTTGTCTTTATCTCAGATACTGGACAAGGTTTTCATCGGAAACCTTTTCTCAAGCGCGCGCTCTCTTGTTGAAATATGAAATAACAATGCTGAAGGAAACATTAGCATTCCATTCGTTCGCTTCTGGGCTTCTACTAGGGCTGTATTTAATTTCTGGAAACGGCCTGCATGTACCACTCAATGTTCTATGTTGATGATGTTTTGAGATCGCTCTTTATCGTTTCTGGTAAAGGATTATCTTACGAGAAGAGTATTTGGAACGTCGCTGAGAGCCTTTCAGGCCTACCATAACATCTCGACCCTCCCTGTTTTCTCCACGTTCTAATAGTACTGACACCGGAAAGTTGCTATGAGTAACTATTTCTTTCCCATGTCCATTCTCATATTTCGCGACTCCTGTCGCTTATGAGTTGTAATCTCTTGATGCAGCAAAGAACATCAGAAGCTGCACTGGAAGACCCACAAGAAGCACTGCAAGTATGACACCAAGTCAGTCGATAGAAGTGGCAAGATGACCGTCGGAAGATTCTTAACAGAGAACATTGGGGCATACGTGAATATGATTGCCGTATGTAGCAAATGCGAATAGGAACCAGGAGCTTAGTTCCAGAGTCCCTTTTCGAAGTGCCTGGCACAGAAGATACATTCGAGTATTGCAAACTATTATTAGCTCCTTTAAAGTGCAGTGGCTGTGCACCACGCAGAGCTGATATAAATGCCCTTTTATCTATCCATGTTACGAAACGGTTTGGCGCCTTGAAAGGCACATCTGCATTCAGTAAAATATGGTTGTAAAAAGAGGGGCCGCGGCTGTCAAGCACGGCAAGTTGAGCAGAGGCCGCTGCGGTCGAGCGGCAGGCCAAAGAGAAGGATTCTTTGAGCAATAATTGGGACGAATCATTGGATCATTGCAGGATAGCATGCGGTGCAACGGCCCACAGGAATTCTGGATAGGAAAAGAAATACATATGAAATTCAATTCTCAAGCACGTCACTAAGATGGCACTCTGCAAGCAAAGCACGTCGTGAAACTTCGTGGACGAGGACATTGCACGGCCAACAATTATTCCGACGGCATGAAAATAATTCAATCTGCAGCTTTATTATATGCCCTTAGCGCAAGCTTGTTAAACCTGGGAAGCGGAAGGGCTTTGTGTACTGTTTCGGCGTCGCGTTAGTTTGCACGCAATGAATCAAATGAGCACGGCACGAGTTTCAGGCATCAACTCCTGCGAGCTGAGTTGATGAACCGCGTATTTATGCGGGATAATACTGGTTCCAAATCATCCAGACCCCTGAGCAGAAACAATGTGACGTGATTGAACGGCAAATTCTTCACGATATTGCATACCACTTAATAGAAGGACTGCCAAACATTATCAGCACGTTCTCTTGTCTCCAAAATTCTTCCAATCAACAATGACAACTGCGTCCTCTCTTCCGCGCCTCTAAGCTTTTCCGTCAACAATCCTCTCCACATTCTCCTTGCCGTCCGCAGCGGGCATCTGCTTCTTTCTGGTCCCCTCGCGGCCACCCTTTACTTCTGACAGGGGTGATCGAGGCAGCGTCCCGTCCTTGCGGCTAGTTTGAGACGGGGACCCTCTCGAGAGGACGGGGGATCCCTCAGCATCTGGCTTAGCTGGAAGCTCGTTCGCGCAAGACGCCGCGGACTCCGCCTCCCGATGTCGCTCCTCGTGAAGAATCAGCACTCTGCCTCCGACAATCACGTGCCCTGAAGATGACTCACTCTTCTCCAGATCCTCGAACGCGGCGCGGAAAGATGCCTTTCTGGTTGCAGAAGCTGCCGACGTCGGGGGCAGCGGCGGAAGGGATGCACGCGAGGAGGGCGTTCTGGTAATGTCGAGTGAGGAATCGGTTGCGGGACCGTCGGTGTGGCCTCCACTCGCATGGGAAGGGGAGGCCGAAGCAGCGGGAGCGATGCCGAGAGACGTGGCAGCGGCGCAGAAGGCCTCGCGTTGCAGAGTGACCATCTGCAAGCGAACCGCGACCTCCATCAGCACCAGTCAACCCGTCTGTTCGGCTGAAGTGTCCACAAAACCCGTTGAAGTTTCGAATGAAGCGAAGGCATCTTCTTCAAAGCGAAGCGTCTGACAGTGCTTGATGTCGGAATGGCCTACAAAACTCACTTTCTCGAGGTACGTGCGAAACTCTCTGCAGTCGCCAAGAAGCTGCTGTTGGGTGTCAAAGAGGTCCTGCTCCATGATCTCGAAAGCCTGCGCAAATGAATCCCGGTAGATCGGATGACATGGCCAACTCAAATATGAAAGGCTACAATACAGAAATCTTAGCTGATAACACGAGCACCGATAAGCTGTTTGTATGTAATATTAAGCATTGGAGAGCAACGATTGACTCGAGAATGAGAAGGAATCCGTGGGCTTCCTAAAAACCAGATTGGCAGGACATTTTCTGCTGAAACCTCCCTCAATCAACAAGACAGCTGAGCTGGCCCCTGCCGACCGCTTCCCGAGAGGTGAGCGTTCCTTTGACTGTTGATCAGCTTACCACTTTGCTAGCTTCGAACTTGATCTCCTTGCGCCGCATGATCTGTGATGAGAAGACATATCAGTACAAGCAGGGAAGGACATTTGTGACCACCGGCCGACGAGATATCTTCGGTATTTGATCAAGCAGGAAATTTCCACCGTTCATGGGACTCGAGATCGGGAAAAACCGTGCTTCCATACCTTGGCCACTTGTTGGAGCTTTCGTCCGTCGCTGTCCTTTTCCGTATCTAGGTACCGTTTCCTTGCGTTCTCTACCAGCGTGTCGTAGCGTCGGACTTGCGTTCTTCGCATCTCGAACTCTTTCTCGTAGCGCAAAAGACTTGCCATGCGATCCTGTCCGAGAAGAAAGTCTCTAAATCACATGTCATTTGAACGTGCGCCCCGGATGAGAGACTCAGCATCTGGCTGCTAGTTTCCATGTGATTCACAATTGACAGCCAGTAACGGATTCTACAGAAAGAGAACCACGGAACATAATTGATGGTGCCCCTTGAAGGTTAAATTCAATGAGAACGGATCCATCTCCTCACCTGAAGGTCTTCGAATGAGCCTTTCCATCTTGCAATTGGGATGATCACACTTCTCATGGTGGCTGAATCCAGCTCCCACCGGACAAGGTCCTGTACGACGCAACAAGTCCTTTAAACAAGAATCTAGGATTACTAGTGTATGCTGACGTTGAGAGACAAGGTTGTTTGAGTGTTAGCCGTTTGGTACAATCGAGGGCAGCGTGCTCGGAAGGGAAGAACGCGCCAAATGTCGGTAAAGACCGTACCAGATCCATCTGTGAACCGAAGGAAGGAGGTGGTCCTGTCGGACTTCGGGCTCTGTTGTCATTTTCCGTCTTTGAAACAGTCGACCTCCCTTGTCCATGTCCTTCTGCTTCAGGGAGGGCATCTTCTTGGTCGTCATCAGCGTTTGCTTTGCCAACTGGCTCCCCGTAAACTGCGTCGGCTGCAGCCTCGTCGTTTGTTGAATCAACAAACCTCACTGAATTCAGCGTTTTGTGCGTGCAGTTCAGAAAGTCTGCACGAGGGATTAGCAGAACCTCATTCACTCGACTGATTCTCTTTTGTTCCTATGGACGTATGCTCCATAAAAGTTGATTGATCTGGTCCAAGTAGTCTGCATTCTGCTTCGTCCTATAAGCTTGTTTGAGAGCACTAAAATGGTTCTTTCCCAGCAAGTCAACTAGGACAGCAATTTTGGCTCACTAAGCAAGCTAAGAGGTTAACAGAAACAGGGACCAAAATATACCCCCTGCAAGCAATTACTTTTTTAAGCTGCACACTTTGTCCGCATCACTTTCTTGACAGCTCGGACGGTAGGCCAAGTCCAAATCACCTTGTCTGCAGGTGCCAGACGACCACGTGTGCAAAGAAGGCTGCAAATTACCATCAGATGCGTCGCGCAGTCCTAAGACCGCCTGCTCCACAGCATCAACAATAGGCTTGAAAAAGGCTAGCTTTTGGTACAGCAGCTCAGTCCGCCTCTCTGCCCTGACAGCAGTGCTTCTTCGTTTCAATCGAAGGAACATATTCAGCCATTCTTTGATGCGGACCTGCACAAGAGTTTGTCAAAAGGTTCTACTTCGTGGTCGAGCTGTGTTGGTGAAACAGGCATGGAGTCCCTCCGCTTATGGTGGAAGGTCCAAGTAAACGTTGAAAAACCAGTTTGAAGTCAAACAATCTCAAACATTCAAATCTCAAGCATCAATTGGGAAGTATTGTCTATATCGTGGCCTCGAAACTACCTCAATTGGAATGGTCCACATCTACATGAGATTGGTAGCGTGCTAAAAAGCTCACCTTTTCTCTGATTGCACGGAGCATCTTATGATGCAGATGCGCACTTCTACCGGACATTGTGCCCTTCAATTGCAGATAACTTCGACCATACCGAGCAGAAGAGAATACAGTCTGGCATGCAGCCCGAATCTGACTTGCTCAGCAGTTTTCTCTTGGACCAAGAAACACCACACCCCCGGGCCTTGTCATGAGACATTCCGTCATGAAGTGTTCTGATGCTCGTAGCTATCAAGCCTTATATATCTGGTGAGAAGATGGTGCTTGACCGGCAGCCTGTTGCTCTGCATTCGCAGACCGAATATGCAGCTTGCTCAAGGATTAGTCCTGGATTAGTCCCAAAACATCAACTTAAACTGACTAACTCCTCGAAAAATGAGTCAAACAGCTTGTATTGTTGCAATCATACAGCCCGCTCCTGCAGGAGCTCAATACAAGGTTCAAGAAAGAGGAAAATGACCGGCATAAAGGACGTGTCACAACCTTTCAAGACGTCAGAATACCGGCCTAGCATTTGAGCGTTCGCCTTGAAAAGCGTTGAACAATCTCGAAGCATGATAATCCGTCCAGTCTACCGGACAGGACTTTCAAGCAGATGACCAGAAGCCTGAGCTCAAGCGGAGAGGCATTTTGAGGACCACAGCAGGCGATGGGACCAGTAACTGCACAGGGTCGAAGCTCCCGAACTTCGACGGCTTCGATTGTCTAAAAATAAAGATCGACGGCTTCGATTGCTTCCGAGAGTCCAAACTTCCGTGGGTTCGTCACTCCCTCATGCAAATAGATATCATGCAAGTTTACGACGCCCAAGGCTACGTTGCCCAAAAGTAGGTACGATTTTGAAAATCTGCTGCGATTGGGCGAAGGATCCCCCCTCTCTCCGTGGACATCAAATTGGGGCACTCGGGTGGAGGTCGCAGCGTTTCAGCGGTGGCCGGTCTTGGCAGAGGCCAGTCATCCGACCAGTAGTTGGTGCTCCGCAAAGTGGCGCCGGTCGTACAACGTACACGAGTTGCGGGCCAAAAACAAACATCCCGGGAGATTGGAGGTGTCCACCGAGCCTGGAGGATTGCGTACCAGGCGCTTGAGTCAACCGCGGTAAGTACTGCCGAATTCACCGGGCCGTAGTGTTTAGCGATTTTGCCTTGAAATTGTTGCTCCCCCCGGTACAGAACAGCGCGCGGTGAGGGTCCAGCCTTCAACCGTCAGATGACATCCATTATCGATCGGAGGGTTCAAGTGGGCCATGCTGGCAAAAGCAGTGGCACGTCAGCCTGTACCAAATCGTGACCAAGTTTGGGCGTCGTAGCCTTGGGCGTCGTAAACTTGATACCTATTCATGCAAGGGGTCCTCACTGCTCAGGAGTCCTCCACTGCTCCAGAGTCAAAATTCCACAGTGTCGTTGTGAGCAGCAGAACAGGAGGAGTTGGGCCAGAAGAGAAGAGCAAGGCGTCCTTAGGTGGTTTGAAGATTGTCGCTTCCCTCACTGCTTTCCACATCTGTCAAGCAGGTGGGTCTTGCGCTGGTTGATTAATTGTGGTATGAAGTTGATTCTCTCTGGTTCGGCCACGTCTCTTTCAAGGTGCAGCTGATTAATACGGCCCGTCTGGACTAAAAGCTTAGCTGGCCTTCCTTTCAAAGCAATTGACGCACAAGCACTCTCGGCCAGAAGCAGGACGATCTAGTAGGGGCAGCAATGAGTGCAAACATGCGGAGGCGCGGACGGCACGAGGATGAGGCCTCCCAGCTTAGGAAGCCTCTGCTGTCAGAAGAAGAAGATGCAGACCTTGGAGAGGACGTTTGGTATGGCTCAGCAAGAAGGGTGAGGTTCTGGCACGCAAGGCGCAGCAAAATCCTCAAGTTTCTAATCCTAGAAAGTGCTGCTGGTTCTACTCCATTTGACAAACTGTGATTGCTGTCACTTTGTACACTCTTATCCAGCTACTTGCTTCAGAGGGCGAGCGGTTGACCATGGGAGTGCCCCAGTGACTAGCACTGATGGATGCAATTCTGACTGGGTATCGCAGCGATTGCTTCGCAATCAAGAAAAGCCTCTCAATTTTCGAACCCCTAATTCTAGATGGATCTCATTCTGAAAATCTTCCAGCATGACTCATTTGTTCTGTTTACAGCTTCAACATCACAATGTTTTCAGTCAGGGAAAGGAGTGCAAGTTTTGGGCAATTGGGCGTCAGAACGCGTTAGTTTCTCGTGGGTTCTATTGCCGACCGCTCGCTGCATTGCTTCTAGTCCGCACAGGCTTGATACAACATTGATAACCTTTCATCAGTAGAGCTTCAATGTGTTGACACATGTTGCATCTTGGACCTCTGGACCAGCTTGAGACTGAAGATTGTCCGCGCACTTATAACACATTGGCCTGCTGAACTTGAGGGCGACGAGAAACTCAACCTGGTCGGAAGACATTGCTCAGAAGATCTTCGTTGGTTTCTGACAGGCGTATGAGCCAGTCTCGACGAGGAGTGCGGACGCCGAAGAAGATGATACCCACAAGACATCAAGGGAACATGCAGCCGCAAGCCGGTGGTGGCAGGACAACTTTGCGACAGTCCTACTCAAGTGGATAACATGGATAGGTGAGCATCATCGCAGTATGTATTGTTGCGAGTCAGAGCTATTGGGCCACTTTTCGGGGTTGTTTCAAAGGTCAACAACTGAATGGACTGTAAGACGTCAAAGATTGTCCAGTGCTCATTCTCATTCTCATGCTCTGCCTACATCAATTCATACGGATGATTCCGAGTCTGATTGCCTTGCAGAGATGTTGCCTGGGGCCTTCGGAAGCTTCTTGAACTACATCGGAAGGAAGTTGTTTGGTCTGTTCCAGCCGTCATCAACCAGTGGCCAATTGCCGCCTCCAAAACTATCGCCCATTCAGGTCAGAGAATCTCTACCTGAGTCGAACCACCACCACGACTTTCAAAAGCCCTTGTGCCTTGGCAGTTTGCCTGACAGCTCTCTCTTAAACCAATCTGACAAATGCCAATTCTGCATGTCTGGGCCTCCTTCCACTCCTCTAAGACTTTGCAGCCTGTGTAGGAAAGTCCAAGAATCGTGACATGTAATTAAGCCTTCTTTGGGAGGCTTGATGTATCGATCCCGTTGACCCCCTTCGAACGGTATGACGAGCAACTGAGGTAGGGGCTCTCCAAGCTTGTCAACGCTTCACGATACGTCAGAACTGAGCAGGCACTGAATGGCCGCAGGTTGAGAGGTTTGAGCGGTTGCGAGCACGGGCGAGCGTTCCATTCAGCAGCACAAGTCCGTCACACCAAGAGGCCCTTCAAAAGCTGTGGCGGTTAGCATACCCGCATCAGCAGCTGACGGGCATGGTGTCAGAGCAGTGGAAGGAGATGGGGTGGCAGGGGACGGACCCTTCGACCGACTTCCGGTGAGCAGATTGTCTGTTCGTTCTGTCCTTGGTTTTTGAGATTGATTTAATTCCTGGAACCCCTTATTCGATCGTTTTTTCGTTCTCTGTGATTGCTTTTTGAGTTCGATGTAATTCCCTCGAACCCCTTACCGATCTTCATATTATGTCCCGTGAGTGGAACGCTATGGAGAGTGGAGTCTAATTTGGCCAAGCCTTGGGCACTGGCACAAGATATGCGACATCTTTTTCTGGCTTGGAAATGTGAACGCACGAATGGGTGGACCTTGTACAGTGTAGGACGGGAGGCGGTCGATTGCCGGAATACCCTGGTCCTTAGAAAAATGGAAAGCTAAGTGCCGCACTTTATCAACAAAAGGAACGAGTTCCCGTTGAGACAGCTTCGATCTCAAAATGTGTTCGGATGGCTTACGACAAATGTTTGGAAGGCTCACGTCCGGCTCTCCATTTGCAGGGGCGGAGGATTCATCTCGTTGGAGAACCTGCTGTACTTCGCGGAGAAGCACCCGGTGAGTTCCCGGTCCTCGGGTCCGCCTCTCTGAAATTCCTCACCTTTGGTAGAGGGCCACTGATCAGTGATACGGGGGTACGGTGATTCGTTTGAGTGGTGTTCAGTGAGCGGTTTCAAGGCCACTACGAGCCAATCAGCTGATTCTTGGGTGGCAAGCGCAAGCCGGCAGAAGCAGGGGTTGAATTGGGGCTTGGAAACTTCTCCGAGATTGTAGTCGAATGGTCCGGGAAGCTTCTGGCACCAGATGACCCTTCAATCGATGTTTTTCTTAGTCCACTTGCTCAGGGTGGCCTCTTTTTTTTGCAGAGGGACTTTCAACGCTTGCTGAAGAAGGAGGACGGGGAGCGTGCGCAGTGGGAGTACCCTTTCGCCGTGGCGGGCTTGAACCTCTCCTTCATGCTGGTCGATCTCCTCGACTTGAAAGCAGGTCCGTGATTGGCTTGTGCCATGAACGGATGCTTTGCACTAGCGTCCTGCCTTTCTGTTGTCGGACTGTGAACAGCCCCAGTGACTTTCTTGGTTTGCTCGGTGGTTGAATTATTATGGAGATTTTATCGTCGGGCTCCTCCGAAGTGAGCAGAAATGGATTGGAGGTTGGCTACGTTGCGGGAGTCCTCACAACGCGTGTGACGAAGCCACGAGCGTTTTCGAATTGATTTTCTGCGCTCTTGACGAAAAGGCTTCACACCAGTCCCATGTGACTTTCGCTCCCGCCTCGATAGAGCTCGGTCGATACGAGAAGACGAGAACCGCCCTTTCTCGGTTTTGCTGCTTGAAATACGAGGTCAGCTTTGAACGTGTTTCTGCCTCGGAACGTCTTCAATCCGGCTCTCAGGATAAAAGGTATCACAACACAAGATCAGAATATCACAAGCAGTATGATTTTCCGACACGTTGCACAAGAAGCTAAGGCAGAGAGGGGCCTACTACTTTGAACAGGCGGTTAAAATGCGGCAGGCATTAGGACCCGCTTTGCCTTCATTGCCGTGTCCTTCGCAGTGCATGATTGGCGTTTCCTTTATTCTGCAGAGGACGGAGTTCCCAGGAGCGCGCCAGGGCGGGGCTTCTTGCGCTTTCTTGAAGGTCAGTGTTGCATGTATTGTCACAGATGTGGACAGGGGCAAGCTTAGAAGCAAGCCAGCTTGCTGCTCTTTTCCATGGTCATTGGCTTCCGATTCTCTCAGCACAGAAAGCAGGGGGCCTGTTTGCTTCCCTTTGGGCATGTCGAACAAGCGCTGATCTGTCGAGGAGCTCTCTTCTTGAGTTGGCGTCTAATCACCAGCTTTTTGGCCATCTCGTGGCACTCCGTAATTTGAAGTAACCATATGGCGGAACGATTGCAATATGTTCCGCCCTTCAGGTCCTTTCGTCCGGCACGGCCATTGCTTACCAGCGCAAAAGTCCGCTAAGAAACAACAAAACCGCTCAGTCGTAGGAAGCCCTCACACGTTGAAGCCCTCACTACTCGTGTAAGCCCTGTCGATGTCGACTCGAGATAAGGAGACGGCTCATGGACCGCTTCCACTACTGTTCTCCAAGCAGAGTCGGTCGTTTGTCAGATTGCAAGGAACTCACGGACTCTCGTCGTCTCTCGCTATGCAGACGATGACTCGGCTTTCGACGCTCTTTACGTGAGGGCTTTCCTGCTGCTGGATGCCGAGTGGCTCAGGATGCGGGCGTCTTACATGGAGTTCAATGTGAGTTCTTCCAAAATTTCTTGGCACATTCGAGAAAATTTTCAATTAGGCGTTCTATTATCAACAAGAGGGAAGCAAAGGCTATGGCCTGAATCAGAATTTTAGTTCGATCTGATATGGCCACGAAGACTTGGAGCAGAAGTTGCTTTGCTTTTCAAGTCGCACAGACTCTACCAAGGCAGGGTTTCCGATTTGACCAAAGGTTCTCACAAACGGACTCAAAAATCGTTCTCACAAACGGACTCAAAAATCGATCTCCTTCATTGCTGTGATTGTTACTTATGAAATAAGGTTTATCAAACGCTTCGAGAGTTTTGATGCGAACGAAACGGTTTTTGTCGACTTGAGTCTTCTTCAGCTACTACTGTACCCGAATAGCCGACCTTTGAGTTCTTTGATGATCGAAAGTCCGTGGCACAGCCATTACCCCATCTGAAAATAACTTGCTCCGATGCAGGTCGTCATGAAGGCCGTTCGAGCGAAGCTAGAACATTTGCTTTCATCATCGAGATTGAAAAGCATGGACGAGATCGTACTATAAACACCGACCCGCATCTTTTGAAACCTGTCTTCTTCAATCGGCTCGTGTGACCTGCTAGCTGGCCTTGCAAATGCCGTTGTCAAGGGGCTAGCCAACACAATCGAGTACTACAGTTAGTGAGTCCAAAGTTGATTGTGCACCATCACACACTTGGTCGACAAAGCGATTCTTGTAAATTGAGTCAGCGATGCATCCAAGATGGCTAAGCTAGAGTGACGTGATCGTCGCGCGCAAACCAGGCAAGTTGTCTTATATGGTGCATTCAGTGCACAAGCTATACATATCTTTTTGGCGCTGGGTCACTATGCAGTGTTCGACCACAGTCACTGCAGCCTGATCGACCGGACCATGTGCCATCGGCGGACTGGCATCCGATCTTGCGACGACCGTTAAGCGGTCATGCTGGCGGCCATTGCACTGAATGATCAGCCCAAGGTGTGCACGTACATGGCATAATTAATTTGAATTTTCTGAATCAACGTTAGCCATGCAGCCACTGGCCAGCTATCGAGCCCGCAACCGTCTCATGGTCACTTGGTGCTAGCCATATATGCACTGTCATTGACGACGGTTAGCCTGGGAATGCGCCTTGCAGGCTTAGTAGGCCTATGCGTTCTACCAAATATTCGTGAGTCCCGCGGCGCGATCCCATGTCGGACTCACTTAAGCTGAGTCTGAGTACGGTCCGTAAGTAAGTTGCCGTGTATCATACATATATGCCAGTTGCAATGCATGAGTGCGCTCGCGTTCGAATTGCCGCTTGCAGACGCGCGGCGCATGCAATCATTGGCCTTTAGATCCGCGGGGCCGCCCCCCGGTGCAAACTGTCATGCCGGACGGTATACGTACGTTGCGTACGCCGATTGGCAGTAAACTGCCGCAATCACGCGGGCGGCCCAGCTCCGCCCGATCAATTCCGAATTTGTCAGGCATCAAAGTAGCACCATACAAGCAGCAAATAGCTAGTGCCCCATTATCACCTTTCCGCCGCAGGAGCACACGTCGAGGTATCACTAGGATTCAATTCTATTGATACCTCGATGCATGATTACGTCAAATCAACGCTTCGTCAGAAGCTTAGCTGCACCGAGTCGTTATGTACATGGTCATATACATTAAAATAATCGTTCAAGTACCAACAACTGTCCGCAATCGAGATCTACGCTCACCTATAAACTCAAGCTTTTTCGCCGCTCCCAGCCAACAATGGGCACCTAAATCAGTTTCACTCGAGAATGTTGTTCCAGACTTATACAGAAGACTTCGGTTGAATTGACTTGCTGAACTACAGCGTCCAACTAAATCCGCGAGCACAACACGAATGCAAGTCGCACTAGTTCGCACTACCTACCAGCGCGCTGCTAGGCGGAAGCTGGTACAACACCTTATCTACATCCCATCCCTTTCCTTGTGCTTCCTCTCTAAAAGAAACGAACCCCGCTTGCATGGCTTGCAGCGACTGGATGGACGACTGGAGCTTCTCGTCACTTCTATGACGCGGGAGCCCATCCGACGCGTCTGTTCTCTGCAACCATGCAGCCTGGTACAGACTGCGCAAGAACGCCTGGCTCCCGGCTCCCTCCTGTCACAGAATTAACGAAACCCGGTAAGCTCTCGTAAGCGCCGCGTTTGGAGCGTTCTCTCAAATCCAATGGTGCAGACTTATCCGACATAGACGAGCCCAGCAAAAGACTAGTGCAATTGAGCAATCTTTGCGACTGAGTACGCAGCTTCGCAGCTTCCAAGCAGCACAATCCAGGGGCTGGATTGCTTCCAGCTTACGGGAAGTGCAGCGCGTTCTCAGCGTTTCAACCATGCCCTGCTACGAGGCGGCGAGAAAAGCGCCGCCTGAGTGGCCGTCCCCTTGATCACAAATCAACTACCGCATGACATCCCTGGAGCGAAATCGAAGCGCTTACACGAGCAGGCTCTCAATCAGATTGTCAAAATCAGGACAACGATAGAAATAGCACAAAAAGTAAGGATGGACAAGAGAAGGACAAGAGCGAACACGACCGGACGTAAGTGGTTCAGAGCCGAGGACAGCGGAACAAGAACGGACACGAATGGAACCAGACGGAGAGAGCGGAACGGAACTGAAATTTGATCACCACAGGGACCAAAATGGACGATGATGAAAGCAGATTGGACGGAAGCGGAAGCGTAACGGAACGAGGGCGGAACGGACCTTCAACACAACCTGGAATTGCATCAGGTTGGGCGCCGGCAAAGCCGCGTCTGAGCAGAGCAGCACGTAGTCCTCCTCCCCATACGCCTCCAAAAGCTCGCCCACCTGAAAAAGGAAACCTATACTTGTAAAAATGTCTCGTGACAGGTGTGCGGGGACAATACACTCATCACTTGTTTCCGAGAAGCAGAAACGGCTCCGCGGTAACGCTTTCTCCAATGGGTGCGGCGTCAGAGAGGGAAAGCTACCCAGAAGAAAGCTTGGGCAGTATTTCAAGGTGCCCTTCTCGCTCTCATAATAGTGAAGAGCCGCCAGAAGGAAGGCCTCCAGACAGCGCACCATTATAGAAGCGGATGTCTGTTTAATCTCTCGGGCCGCCACAAATTTGGCAACGTTATGAACGCAAACCACCAATCTGATGTATGAACATTGTAAATGCTTTAGCTCGTCTCAGCAACGTAAAAGCGCGCAAACGACGTAGGTTTACCTGCTCCGGTCCCCCGAGAGACTGGATGAGGTCTCCGACAGTGGCCCCGTATTGCAGCTGCGGCTGACAGAGCGACCGGGGCAAGAGCAGGTTCTCGGAGGAACTGAGCGAGGGCACATCTGCAGAGGCCAAGAACGAAACTCCGTCTCTCGTCTTGTAGGATCGTTTCTCTGCTTTTTCTCTGCTTCTTTTCTCCGGGTGTTTCCTAGATGCACGCTTTCCCAAGCGTACTCACTTCTGTTCGCTCCCTTTCTGGTAGGAGGCAACGGCTCAGGTATGAGACACCCACAGAGATAGGTGATGAGGGGTAACAAAGCGCAGGTAGAAACTCCGCAACGCTGACGCGGGCTGAAGCGCACGAGAACAAACCCCGAATGGGCACTTTTGCTGAAAGCGCTCTTTTGCAGTCGAAACCTTCCGCTCCTTCCACATATAACTCGCCAAGTTCCTCAAGATTCTACAATGAAAACCCTCTGGGAAACTGCAGACCTAGGACGTTGTAGGATTTCACTATCGACACACTCGGCTTCCACTGTCCAGTCGACTTGATTTGAGACGTGCGATCACGACCAGTAGCTGAAGCTATTCCCCCCCTGCGAAAGCGGAGTGACGTACCTGGAAGTTGCTCGCCGGCCACGTGTGCTCTCACCAGCGCTGCGGCACGCTTGTAATTCAACTGCGAGCGTCAGGATATGCGAACGTCAGGAGGAATTTAGATTTGAAGACGATACGGGTGTGCTCAAAATAAAAATCGCTGCGTTCTGCTTATGATTGGCAAAGATGGGTAGGGTCATGTGTTCGGTGACCGCTACCAGTTCCTCTCATTTAAGAAATCAATTACCGTACCTAGATTTGAATTCGGCAGGTTCGACGCCGATGAGCTGATTATGAAATTTTCAATCCTTTCGGCAGACCTAGCATTACCTGCTCAAAAACACCGTCATCGACCATTATCGCTTCAAACCATTTTCCAGCGAATTTCGGCAGGGCGTGTAATTATTTTATTTTCGCCGAGATCAAATAGAGGTAAGGTAGTAGTTTAGAAACCATTCAGTGTGCTAAAATGTGTAAGCCTTCTCAGTCAAGGTCTCGCTCACAAGGGCCAGGATGTAACAAGGTTCAGAACGATCCAGATGGGGACATGAGAGCTGTGAAGCAGACTATTTGCGAGACGGACAGGATCTAGCACAGGCGATACCGTGAGGGAGATAAACTGATGGTTCCTTTGCATCGACGTTCAGTGCTTGCACTGCAACGTATGCCGCCGTTTTGAACTCCATTCGACACAGTAAAAAATCCTCAGTTTCAATACTAGACTCTCGAGAGTGGGCGGTCGTGCGACCCTGAACATATGCAAGAAGGCTTCAGATACGTCCCGCGGAAAACACTCCGGAGAAGATTCACCTGGCGTAACCACAGCGCTCAACTTTAGTTACTGCTCAACCCTCTTCAGCCACTCAATTGATTATCGATACCTTAAGGGAAAACCCAAAGCGCTCTCACCTGGTTAAATTGCAGCACTTGCATCGATTTGTACCGCAGCGCAAGGTGCGCCACCATGCACACGCCCCAGCAGCCCACGATGCTCCAATAGTCCTTCGCAAAATAGTTCTGCGAAGGAGCAGAACGAGCGGCAAGTTAACAGAGCTTTACCGACAAAGCGCTGAATGCCACACTATTACCTACAGTGTTAGTGCCACCTTGGACTGGCCGAACCAAGGTCTATAATCAACAAGATTTAGAAGGAAGCAGGCTAGCGGCGAACATAAGAGTCACCATTGCGCCTCCCTCAATCAGACCGGAGCTTGACAGGACCATACTCCAAGTCACCAATAGCGTGTAAGTCGTATCGGGCCGCACCCGACAATCGTTCCATAGATGGTAGACAGTGTCCGGAAATGGATTTCAAAGTCCGCAGTCCAATACGACATTCCAATTGCCATCTTCACCACTGAATTTCGAATTCTTCTCCTGACGGTAATTAGCGGGTTAACAAATCGGCTGACCATGACTCACCAGGAGTGCGACCCCTGTGGCCAGCCCCAGAAGTTCGGCGGGCACTTCCCAGACGTCCTCTTTCGCTGCGATGTTGCCCAAGTTACTGCTAACCGCGAAGTGGTTCTGGATAACCCGGAAGCACGGGTTTTTCATGCCCCGCCCCACGGCCCGGCACAAGTGACCGACCGACGCGAGGAGGAGGAAGTTGCCCGGGGCGAGGGGGGTCAGCAACTCGAGGCACCTGAAAAATGGGGGTTAGGATGTTGCGGTTAGCAATAAGCTTTTTGTTCAGAGGTTACAATTTCTCGAGGCACCTGAAAGTGGGGTTGAGGATCCAAGTTCTTTTCAGAGGTTCCAACCCCTTGAGGCACCTGAAAGGGAGGTTGAGGATCCAAGATTTTATCAGAGGTTCCAACCCCTTGAGGCACCTGAAAGGGGGGTCGAGGATCTTCCACTTAGTGTTACACCTTTTGTCAAAGGGTAAACAATCTGGCCTTCTACGAGCAGCAGGCTGAATCTGGGACTCTGGTCAAAACAAGAAGGTACAGATATGAGAGAGTTTCTGCTGTATCGGCAAATTCACCAGTGTACGTTGACAAAAGCTTAGGAGGATGCAAGACTAATTGGTGCGCAAAGGGACAGCTTGACGAAAAACGTAATGGAACGCAGGACGAATTCAAACCGTCAGAGAGACGGAAAAGCGACAAAGGCCGAGGATAGTTTTCTTGGACCGCTGCGCCTGGAGGAGAGGGAAAAAATCCAAAGTGCGGAAACCCGGATTAGAATTCAGACTGCACTATCGGCAGTATCTCGTAGGCGGAAAGCCCAGATGAAAAGAAGGAGATGACGGCGCTCAATGAAAAGAACATCGAGTGTCGCATGGACCTTTGGGTTGATCGGAACTTTCACCAGATTCCTTCGAATGCTGACGACAGATCTGGTTGGTTCGCACGACGAGGCTCACCCGCCGAAGGTCGTGATGAAGTCTGCATACATGCGCCATTGGCGAGGGTCCTCGTCCGGCAGGTTTCCAAACCGCCCGCCTGCAAAATTCGTCTCATGAAGTTCGAAATAAGCTAAATCGAAAACCTCAGTTATCACGGACAACCTCAACGGAGGAATGTTTTTGCACCATTATAAAGACTCCCTCTCACCTTACCCATCCCAGTGCGGTAATTGTGAGGTTTCTTGAGCTTAACATCATTTTTCCTTTTGACTGGGACCCCTGCAGAGAGATCGCCGGCAAAAGTGCTGTTGCGCCCTCGATCAGAGAGGGTGTCTGGGCTGAATCCCTCCGCCGACGGAATCAGTGCCGAAAGGGCTGACCTGCCGCTCGAAGCAGCCCTGACGGCTTAAATATGAGCCGTCGGATATCTCCGGTGCACGACCTTGCCTCGAACACGGCACCCCATCTTCAGCCCACCATCGCATCCAATAGACGGGCCAAGTAACGTTCGAACGCTACTTAAAACCTCGGTTAAGTGCACCTTACTGTAGAACGACGTTCGTTTCTTGCAATCTCCGACAACCCTGAATCCAGCTGACAACCGGCGTCGTTGCTTGACTCTCAGCGGGCTGAACTGCATTTATTCACACTCTTCGGCTCATCGATGAAGTCGAGCCTTTGCGAAGGAAGGAACACAAAAGACGTCGTCAGCGTCAGGAGTGCTGACCTACTCACCCACGGCAGCTCGACCGAGAGCGCCTACCCCGTCTTTCGTTACCCATCTGCAAGGGAGCGCACAAAACCGTAGAGTGGACGGGCGAAAGATTCCTGAACTCCCAGATGCCAGGGACTGAATACTCCGATATTATTGCCAACTGTAGGAGATCCACACCTTCGACCTCTTCGGAAATGAGTAGGGAGCGCCCAAAGAAAGCCGGGCATTGAAACTTTGCAAGGATTAAAATCTTCGTCCCGAGTTGAGCACGTGCAGTAAGTTGACAGCTGCCGAGATTGAGAAAACCGTTCCCAACCAGTCGCAGAGAAAAGCGGTGTCTCGCAGAAAGACACTGGGTCTAGTCATTTTGACATCGGCCCCAAGTCATCTTTCTCCTAGAATGCCAAACCTTACTCAGCCTAGTTGTCAAGCCGGCTCGAACGGATTACATGAGCCCTAGCAAATTGGTACAAGCGATACAAAAGCGAAGCCAGAGCGTCACCTTATGGCAGCGGTGGCAGCTCCGACGCTTAGCCCGTTGGCGCCAATTCCAACCGCCTGTATAAAACGAGTTTTTGAACCTCTTTTGTGCAACTTTTAGGATCCCCACCTTTCTAATGGAAAAGCCGTTCCTCAGTCAGCAAAAAGCACTAGATTTGTGAACTGGCAGGCCAGCAGGCAAATGAATACTTAGCGAAAGGCAGCTCTGTCTACACAAGAAGCAGAGCCAGTAAGAAGCGACGTTTGGAGGCGCAACGATCTGCCCTGCTTGGCGGATCCATGCCCGTACGTACCCCTTTGTCCACGTTTTGTCCTGTCGTAGATAGACACCTCACCACGACGGTCGTCTTACGCAAGACTTTGAGACCGTTACGAACTGAAAAATCTTGGACCTGATCTCACCTTGAGGAGTGAGCTCGTTACAAGGGTGTTGCAAGCGTGGCCGGTTATGTGCACTGGAATGCTCCACAGCATGTACGGCAGATAATCCTCGGTCACACTGTCTGCATATGAAGGAATCACATTGGTGACCTTGTCTTGGCCGCATCAATTCAAACTTTTGGGTTTCAAAGCCAGCAGAGCACGCTGAACGAGCAAACGTCATTTGCAGAGCCCAAAGCAGGCAGATTGGGAAGAAAGCCACCAGTCAACTGCAGGTCGACCTGCCTGGAGTCGAAAGTAGTCAAAAACGGAGTTTGGGACCAACCTGGGTAGCCTGCTGGAAGGAACGTATCTCTCAGCGCCCTTGGTAGCGAGGAACTGCCACTGCTAGCTGTGGAGGAAGAAGCGGATGCTCCATTCTCGCCACTGTCAGACTGGGTGCGCCCTTTCAGAATGTCCACTGAAGATTGCGATCCTCGTAAAGTGTACCTGCATAAACCTGAGCATTTTTCCCCCAAGACTATATCCCAAGCTCGGTTTGAAGGCAGATTCTGCGTGTGTAGACCTTCTTGTAGCTCCTGTTGACTATACTGACTTACGGTCATCATAAAACATGGCCAGGGCTTGATTTGGCAAGGGCACTGAGGATATTTGACGACGCAGGAGACGTAATCTGTAGAGAGCAATTCTGATACCCACTACTCCTGGCCAAAAACTTCTGGACCAAGTCTGGCAATCCACTTTTGCATATGGAGTAGGCAGACTGTGACATCCTGAAAACTTGCAGTGGGGAGTCTTCAAAGTCATACTTCAACCATCTTTCTCCAGCATTCACCGGCAACTTTCACCTCCAATCCCCCAGACGTGAAAGAAAAGATGACGAAAGACGACCAGCTTTGATAGCCTAAGAGCTAGTATATGGAGCACAAGCTAGCAGCGCGAATGGGTCAAGCTGCCTTGCAAAAGCGTGCCTTACACCGTACTTCTGCAAACTCTTCACACCTTCCAATTCAACAACGCCACCTTTTCAGGAAAACACTACTTGATGACACACCCCAAAATTTGGGAGTGGTACATCGAATGATGCATCCTTATGCGACTGCCAACTCACACAAGACCACCTTCTTACAACCCATACCTTCGTATCTGCCCGTCCAGTAGTCTCTCGTCTAGGACCAGCTGCTTCTCCTTTGCATGCAGGGGCTCATTTACTGGTGGAGCTGTTGGTGGTACAGGCTTCTTATCAACGCGAGCAACCTCGTTCCTGACTGCCAAACCCTGCCTCTTTTTGCACCGTCTGTGCCAATGACATACACCCCCACTGTCGACTCCGAAGAACTTGCAATGCCGCAATGGAAGTGCAGAAGCCATTTTGTGGCTGCAGCCTAAACGTGCTCCAGATGAGTTGTGCCGTGTATCTGTCCCGAGCTTGGCAGCTGGGACGGGAAAGAAGCCATGATGCTCAACTATTGAGGAAGCTGCCTTCAGCGCCATGATGCTGCTAGGCCCTGCAGGCTGCAAACTGATTTCTGCGCCCACTTCAATCCGAGCTTGATGCTTGTAACCCCGCTGCATAACCACCCATAAACCCATCCTGATTCTTGACACAGTATCAACTTGACACTCCCAGGTCAGTTCAGGGATGGGAGTACGACATCCAATCATAGCGTGTGCATGACCGAGATTAGCAAACCCCAATTGTGCAATGGGTCTCGTCACTTGAGCTGCTCAGACTCGTCAGACTCGGAGTCATGTTCATTGTTCCACAATTCAGTCTTCAGAATCACAGACCACTTCACTGTCGGTCTTCAGTTTCAGACGCCCGCGAGGAGGACTCGTCAGGGATGTTACAAAAGCCCGAACGCTTGCAGGGGGTTTTGGCCTGAAGCAAAGCTGCAAGAGCTTTACTTTTGAAGGTTTTGCAAGGCACGTGCCTGGGAAGTTCCTATTTCGTACTTCAATGTTCTGGTGTCTCCTGGCTCGAGCACAATTCCAAAAGCAACCTTGACAGAAAGCTCTTCTTTGACCAGATAACTCTGTTTTTCTATGACAAGCCCGTATTAGCATTACGAAACCTAGTGTGCATGCGGTAATTTTGCAATGGCTTCGCGTCAGGATGGTGGAGGATATCAACCGCCAAAGTATGATGATGTAGCGGGTCCAGATTATGAGCCCCTTCGAGACTTGGCTGAAGCTGGTGAGGAGAGCTTGCAGCCTAGGAGGTCAGCAGAGAGGCCTAAGCAATGGACTACGGGCATTTGCGGCTGCTTCAGCGACCTTCAAACCTGTGAGTATAAGGTTGTGTAGGCAAATGATGAGAGAGTTAGGATTGTTCACTTCTCACAATGAGTCACATGATTGAAGAATTTGAATCAAAGCACTTTAATGACTCAGGCAGCCAAGGGCAATAAGGTACAGTAGGGGCTTCACGCTGCGCCCCAGACAGTCCGTTGTTCAAAACTTGTCAAACGATGCTGGTAGTGTGACGGAGAAAAACCTGTTGTTGATGTTTCAAGTGTCGTGTTGCTGTTGCTCAGATGTTGGAATCACCCTGGCTATGTCAGCACAATCACCTTCATCGCAAGGACTTCACGCCCTTAGTTGAAGCCCAGAAGTTCGAAGCATCACGGTCCTCCTTGAAACCCCCCCCATTCCAAACAACGTTTGACTCTGCGAGCCCTGGTGTATGCACAGCTTCAGCAGAATACCCTCTGCTGCTGCAGGTTGTCTTGGACTGTGGTGCCCGTGCCTTCTCTTTGCCAAGAACGTGGAGATGCTGACTGGGAACCCAAGCATTGGACCCTGCATACTGCACTCTGGGGTGGGGGCTGCAGTGGCCTCCGTCATGATCTTCTTCTTTGGGCCCTTTGGCCTTCTCTGTAGTTGCGCGTCGTGTTACGCGTCAATGTACAGAAAGCAGATTCGTGGAAAGTATGGCCTAGAGGAGGCGCCATGCAATGATGTTATGCTGCACTACTGCTGTCATTTCTGTGCGCTCTGCCAGGAGTTTCGGGAGCTAAGGGAAGCTGGGGCTGGAGCAGGCCCTTACTCTGGGACTCCGTTAGAGCCCCCAGTTCAACAGAGCATAGCGCAGTACTAGGATCACCACTTTCTTTAGAGAGCAAGCACTTTGCTATTACAGAATGTAACATAGGGAGACATTGGAGGGTTGATGGAGAGCCAGAGAGTATAAATGGTAGAAGCGGGCTCCACAAAAGTTCACTCTTGCAAGTTGCTTGGAGGAAAGGCCACTGCACATTTGTAGTAAAAGCAGACCTGCTGTAGTGTTTCTGATTGCCCTTTGCTAACTTCCATTGGCAAGCAGGCATAGCAAGCCTACGTTGCTCGTACGTGTGGCACACGGGCGCTTTTTGAATATCTTGGGCTGTGTTTTCTTTGACATCAGTGTCAGGTATGATCATGTGTTCGAGCTATGTAATCAACAGTACTGAATTGAAATCCTATCAATATGCGACTCATCAACGTGGATATGATCACGGCTCATGATCTGATGAGTCATGCATTGCATCTGATGCATGTACATGTGATAAACGTACAGCCATATATTTCCACGAGGAACCATGTTGCTCTTGCTAGCTCGATCCTAGGTCCTTGCCGTCAGTCGGCCGCAATCCGGTCGACGACTCAGATCAAGTATGCTCTGTATGGTCGCGTACTGGACTCATTATATAACACGTTGCCAAAATGGGTAATTTAAGGTATAGCTGTCAAGCTGGACTATAAGCTGGCCGCCTATATAGCAATATAACTCTGAATTCAAATTACAATCTATTTCATCCGTCATTGAAACCGTTGACAATTGTCCTCGATGGTCTATAGTTCAGCACCTTCAAGATCCAATTTAGAACGCAAGTCATCAACAGGCTGCTACCATTTTCATATTCTTTGTTGATACTAAAGAGCTTACCTGAAAATGGCCCTGTACCTAAGGAGAATCTGCAGTAAAATTTTAAGCAGCTTCGTCTTGGTGCATGAGCTTCCGCTTAAGTTACTTAGATTGGTGCCAACTTTTCCACATCCGGCCAGTCAATACTGAGCTGGAAACCATGTGTAGCAGGCAACTTCTTTGTACCGGTTGATGCTGCGCTTGCATATTCTCATGGAGAGGAGGACTACTTATACGTCGCTTTCCAATTCATGATTCTGAAAGAGAGCATTTACTAGCGCCTTCAGTGATGCATTGCCTGCTGGGGCGGAGGCATATGGGGTGTGATGTATGCTTTTATGTGCTTCTGCCTGTCCGCTTGAATCCTCATCTCCCGTGCCTCTTGGCATAAAGCGCTGCAAATGAACCAACCGGTGCATGGATCTGATTTCAGCATCTCAGACTCTTTGTTTGGACGATCTCCTGAATACTGCGGTCACATCGACACTTTAGTGGAACGGATTTGCACAGAGAAGAAATCGAACCCATCTGCAACAACTCGAATGCAGTGAGTTCGAGCTGATTGCAAAGCAAACGGCCGAGTCTGAAAGAATTGCGGGACTCCGTTTCATAAGCAAGCAGGAGGACAACTCACCACACGCAGCAGAAGCAGTGGATGCAGCAATCATTGCAGGGAAGCGCTGGCAGGCCGTATTTCTTCCGCAACCGCTCTCTTGTCCTGGCAAGCACGAAAAAAACATGGATCATCTTGAACTTCCTCTTGGCAAAGTCATCTTGTCTTCCTGCACCTGAGCATCTCGTTCTCTTCTTGCTCAACTCAGAGGCGTTGACTTCTCGTACACCATGTTGTTGAAACGGCGTAAGAGACAGTGTGTACGAATTCTTATCAGTTCACAAAGATTGAAATGGAAAGCTGTCTGGCATAAAGAGTTCCTCGACCTCTTCGACTGGTGTTTTAAGCAGGCTTCCATTTCAATTATCCCAATCATGGAATTATGCAGAGAGCAGAAAGATCGCCTTGAGGTTTCAAGTGCAGCACATGAAGTCACATGAAGTCTACCTTGGCGAGGGTCTAACAGCATCCGCTTGCACACAAACACCGGCGCTCGCAACAACAGCTTTCCTTGCCCAGGTTTTCATGGACAGGTCAGCGTTGGAACCTCTGGACTTTCTAACCTGTGAATTGACAATCAATTCGCTCTTTACGGATAACCGCAGCTTCTGCAAGTTCTTGTCCACTTTTGACGCCTCACCGCACGCATAGCAGGCGCAGCAACCCACAGCGGAGAGCAGGAAGTAGAGGCAGCAAGGGGTGCAGCAGCTCTCGCCCGTCAGCATCTCAACGTTCTGCGAGGTGATCAGCAGAGAAGGAAAGTCAGACAAGAACAGATGCACTGAACATGTGCTTGTTGTAAGTCCAGGTTGCGCTCAGCGCTTGAAATCGGTGTCTGAAAGACCCAGAAGTGAGGTAATGTACTGAAGCTACTTGCTAGTCATATTACACAACTAAGAAAAGGTGAAGGGGCTGGACGGGAATGCTGAGCTTTGAGTTTCAAGACCTTCAAGCAGGGTTTTGTGACTGCAACTTTTGTGTGACAAGCAGACGGGACGCCCATAAATTCTAAGGAGACTGAGAGGCCTGAAGAGGAAGCACTTCAAAGCATATTTCACAATCATCTAGTGGGGTCCTGAATGATTGCAAGTACACGGAAGTCCTAAAAAAAGTGGGTCCAGGATCATGCTGCCTTACCTGTCCATAAAGGACGCAGGGAAGAAGGTAACCCAAGCAACCTGGACGCCAGAATGGAGCGAAGGTCAGTCTATGAAACTCTCTATTTCTGAGACTTCTGATACACGTGAAACATTGGCTGCCAGGTCCCGCAGAATGTTGTGAGTGAGGGGCACAAGAAGGCACCGATGGGGATAGAAGATATTGACCAGGAAAGAGATTGGCCTCAAGTCCTGTTTTCGACTCAGGCTGGTGAAGTGTGGTAGGGTCGAATCTCAGAACCAAAGCGTTGGTCTGCACCACCGACTTTTGAAAATCGAAAATAGAAGCCTGAGCAACCTTGGCGTCCACTCAAAAGAATCCTGCTATTTTAACCAGACAACATTGAGACAATCGAAGTGATTTGAGAACGAAAGGACTATCATCAGATTCCAAGTAAGCTTGGCATCGACAGTCAGTCACATTATGAGGAACGTTCTTTAAACTCTGTTTAGATCAATCCTCTTAAGAACTCCCTCAGTGACTCCCGCTAATAGTTTCCGACAAGCTGGACGCAAAGCAGGGTAAGAAGACTGATGTTAAACAAGTTTGCAACATACCTCTTCGTGTCTAGTTTCTCACACTAAGATCCACGCACGCAACAAGGAACTTTCAAATTCAAACCCCAATGCCGGCACATGAAGAGACACAATGGAACGATTGAGGCAATCTACCGGTGTATCATCTGCATAACGGCAAAGCTACAATCCCAATAACTCACATATGCCGCAATCTCCAAAGCAACCCAGCAACCCTGCAGCCCACCTGCCGGAGTTCCCCTGTTCTCCTGGAGGAACATAAACTGGCTGAGCTTGCGGTATGCCATGTGGGGGAGTGCCTAAGTACGGTTGGTTAGGAGGAGCGTAGTTATACTGGTCAACCGGGGAATGGTGCGCCATGCTTTCTCGACTCTGAACACAGCAGTAGATCGCTTCTTGCTCACCACAGTACTGTTCTGCAGCTCTTTGCTGTGTCCTTCTTTCTGTCTTCACTGGGTGGTCAATGGCCTCAACAAGCCATAGAAAGAAAAGCGGCTCTGAAAGGCGCCGCAAACCCCAAGTGTTACAAACGTGGGGCAGCGCCAAATGGGAAATCTCCTCGTGGAGCTAAGACCTTCCTTCCGCCCGCTGCTGCTGTGGCTTGCCACCACGGCGCTTGCCCAATGCCTGCGCAGGCAATCCTTTCAAACAGCTTTGTTACACTGCACCTTCCTCTCTGTGGCCCAGTGTCGGGGATTGCGGATCTGATCGCGCAAAACGCGCACTAACGTCCACATGATCGAGAGGGAGTTCCCTCCTAGATGGACGATATGACTTGCTTGGATATGCTGACGCAATCACGATTCTTGGAACCAAATGAACCAATTGAATCACTCTGATTCACAGGAATACTTTTCAACTTTCTATTGAAAATTCCTGATACACCGGGCAGGTCTACTCCTCCTGGGGACAGCCTCGAGGCAGGAATGGAACTTTGAGGATGACCGGTCAGAGTTCTCCGGTACTTGTGAAGCTTCCCATTTTTGACAACAAGCAATTGAATTTAAGTGCAATCACTTCTCTGCACGAATCCTTGCCTGGCAAGTTGCCAGGAAGGAACTTCTTGGCAGTCTTGGGTTGAGAAAGGTTCTGGCCACCGATAAACACGTTCTAGATTGGACGGAGCGTTTGCTTTCAGCCATGGCGACGTCTTGGACAAGACTGGCTAAAGACCCTTTCAGCGTAGCCACTTTCAGCTCCCGCAGGAGTACAAAGTCTCAAAGGTCTGTTGAAGCAGGATGCGCAAAGCCATGTCTATCAGATTGGACTCAGGCTGGCGTGTCCAATGTGACCGGGGTCAAGCTTTTGCCTTTGAATACGTTTCTGACAAATGCCATTGGCCTTCGACAAAAGCTCCCAAAGCAGTCATCAAAACGGCGAAATGATGTTGCACGTATGGCTGTGGCGGCCCCATCCAAACCTGTCCAAGATGTGGACGCCCCAGAAGAAAACGTGTTGTACGATGCAGTCATCATTGGTAGTGGTATGGGGGGCCTAGTGACAGCAACACAGCTTGCAGCCAAGGGGGCCAAAGTGCTGCTGCTGGAGAAGTACATTGTTCCGGGGGGCAGCGCAGCCTACTTTGAGAGGGAGGGGTACACGTTCGACGTTGGCTCCTCCATGATGTTCGGGTTTGGAGATCAGGTGCGCAGTCATGTGTTGTATCATTCCATATCTGTGGAATCTTCTTTGCAATCACTAGCTGGTTGCATCGCACGATTAGGGTTTTCAAGCACAATCGAAGCACCTTGAGCAACACTTCCTTCAATGTCAGCAGGAGTGCGAGTGCAGCCTGTGCCATAAGGACTCAAAGTTGGAGTTGCTCTTAGTGTCTGATGCTGCCCCTCCTGTCCACCATTTCGCCCCCCCAACTTGCTGATGAAGTGCTGATAAAAGCAATGCTGCCATCAGAATGTCATATGCTTCTTTGCCACTCGACGCACCACGTTAAGCACTGCCATCACGCTTGGAACCATCGAAAGAGAGGGGGCCAAGCTTCTTGTTTGGCAGCTTTTTTGAAAGAGCACGGTAGCTGGCGCCTGCTTAGAAGTTTCCCCTACAGAGTTTCAGGTTACATGGCACTGCTGGAATCACACCTTTTTCCTGCTTCAAAGAGTGTCTACACTGCCCCACAGACAGGTTATGAAAATGCCCTATGATCCTGCAAGAACCTCCCTCAAAGTCTGGCAGAGCACCATGGCCTAACTGAGATACATATACAAATGGGCGCAAATGCAGTCCCCCCACCTTCCATTTCGATTTTTCTTCGTTTGCCCCGATGGATCTCATCTCTTACCAAGTCACTACAACGACTGTTGTGCTTTCTGCGTCCTGGGCACAACAACCCTGCTTACAAGGGCTCTCGCTGCAGTTGGGAAGATATTGGAGACGCAACTCAACCCCACCATGGCCAACCGCCGCCTTATGATCTCTTTATTCTCCGTTTCCCCCTCCTTTTGATACGTGTATTTTCCCCCCTACCAGATGAACTTTTTTGAGAGTCAGAATGCAGGTTCTTCGTTGAGGAGCCTGAATGACTGTTTGTTGGCCTCCTGCGTCCTCCAGGGGACAGTGAATCCGCTGACACCCGCGTTGAGGTTGAGGTTGGGATGAAGATGGAGACCATTCCCTGCCCCACGGTCGTGCACCACCACCTTATCAACATTTTCGTATACCTTACTTTCCCCCTCCTCTTTGACTTTTCCTCACTTTCCGCCTAACCAGATGATTCTTTCTCAAGGAGTTCGAGGGACAATTGTTGCGTTTCCTGCACCTGCAGGGCACAACGAATCTGCTGACACGCGTGCTCGCTGCCATTGGAAAACGATGTAGACCAACCAGGTCTCTGCGATGGTGCACTACTACCTTTTGGATGTCTCTGTTTTTCTTGCTTTCCTGGAAATCTATTTCAGGCGCCGCCAACGTATCAGCGTTCAGAGAACCAGAACGTTGGTTTTTGCGCTTTGCCGTCCTGCAGGGTACGATGAATCTGCTGACACCTTCGCTCGCGGCGGTTGGGAAAAGGATGGAGACCCTCCCCAACGCCGCAATGGTGCATTACCACCTTTTGCACGTCTTGAACCATTTTTTGTAGAAAGATATGAGGAGTTTGATGATGTTTATTTTGCGCTCTGAACGTTCTCCAGGGCGTGACGAATCTGCTGACACGCGCGCTCGCTGTGATGGGGAAGAAGATGGAAGACCATCCCGACCCCGCGATGGTGCATTTCCACCTTTTGAACGTCTTTGAACCATTCTTTCCGCAGTTTATTAGAAGCTCGTATAATCAATAAGTTCCGCTCTTTACGTTCTTCAGGGCACAACGAACCTGCTGACACGCGCGCTCGCTGCGGTTGGGAAGAAAATGGAGACGATCCCCGACCCCGCAATGGTGCACTACCACCTGCCAGACGGCCTCAGCGTGCGCGTACACCGAGACTACGAGGAGTTCATTGCGGAGCTGACGTCGAAGTTCCCGCACGAAAAGGAGGGCATCCGCAAATTCTACGACGACTGTTGGAAGGTGGGCCAGTCTTGAGCCTGTTCGCAAGATGCTTCGCTGCGTTTTGAAAGCCAATGTAGAGACCACTTCGGGTCTCTGGCTGTTGCTGTTTGTCCATAATATACGATATTGCTTTGCAGACCTTGTCTAGGGTAAACAACCTGTTGTACAAGTAGCTCTCTTTCTTCAATCTAGTACTTTGTGTGTGATTGTGCTTTATTCCTGCAAGCGGTGTTGAATAATGGACAGTTACAGTAATCAGTTTGCCGTGCTCAGACCAAAGATGGTGAGCATGTTTGGACGTATTGTCCGTGTGTTGGTCTTGGCTGCCTCCGGGGTCTCATTGCACGCCCTCGAGTCTACCATTGTTTGGCATGGAGTGCCCCTCCTCCTTCATACCATTACCCTTCTCATGGACGTTGGAAGACCACTGAGGTGGCTCAATAAAATCCTGCAAGCAAACAAACGATGTCGTCCGCATCAAGGTGAAAACAACTGGAACGCTCTCACACTTCGTAATGTTGCAGACAGCCACGTGAAGCTTGGATGTGTCGCTTCTACTCTCTTCTCGAGCAGCTGTTGCGGACTTGAGAGTCAGCTTCCATTGAAGTCTTTGGTTTCTCTACTTTTTAAAACAGTGTCTTAGTATCCAAAAATGTGAGCTTGAGGTCTGCTGCTTATAATTCTTGCCCGTTCAACGCGCAGATCTTCAACGCTCTGAACTCTCTAGACCTGAAGTCCCTCGAGGAGCCTCGGTATCTGCTCGGCGAGTTTGTGAAGCAGCCCCTAGCCTGCCTAACCTTAGGTGAGCGTTTCTCCGGCATTTCTTAGCGTTTCTCTTGCCCTTCATTCGCAGAACCTCTTCGAGTCACGCCAGTCTGCTCACTGCAGTAGCCTTTGCTCTTTATTGTCTTTGGGTTATGGATTCATCAAAGATCTCCAGCACCTCTTTCTACAAGTGGCAAGCTTCGGAGACAAGCCGTAGTCCCCTGACGGATCTGACGACGTCGTCAAATTTCTTCAGTTGTCATCTCCTGCTGATTGCGAAGTATGCGCAGACTGTTTTCCCCTCGCCCTAAAAGTCCGCTTGTCCAACTCTTGAGACAACCCCAGAACTTCTTCTTTGACTATCACACCGACTCATGGTGTTCATTCGAGAGAGTGCGGCCCTGCTTATTCAGTATCTCGCCCGTCCCTTATGCTCGCTTCCTTGGATAGCACGCATTTCTTCCCGCTTGTTCCCGTCCTGATTGTCCTTTTAATCCCAGCTGAACTGCTCTGGTTCGTCTACATCAAGTACTAGGAGCGGAGTTTGCTGTTCTTGCACAGCACAGTGTTTCCCATCATCCCCTTCGGATCGCCCTCTCACTCTCCTCAATTACTTGCTCCCCGTTAATACCGGCCAATTTGCCTGCAAGTACATCGAAGACAAAACGCTCCCCCGTTCCATCGACTTCGACGACTGCGCATAAAGCCGTATTCGCTCTCTCTGCATAGCACACGGTTCTCCCGCTCATCCCGTTTGATCGTCTCTATTCGCCCCCAGCTTACTTCCTTCCGGTGAACACTGGCGACGTCGCCCGCAAGTACATCAAGGATGAAACGCTTCTGCGCTTCATCGACATCGAAGACTACGCCTGGAGCACTGTCCCGGCAAGCCTCACTCCCATGATCAACTCCGGCATGGTGAGCATGCCACGTGGCCGTGGCACAGACCGGGTCGTCCCACGTGTCCCAAAAACGATGCGCTTAATGACGACAAGTTTGGCTCGTTTTTTTGCCCTGTTCGTCGGGGGCTCTCGATCCGAATGCTGCCAGATGCTTGTCTGCTTACACCGGTTGAAACAGTGGTTGCAGCACTCAAAGCCTTGATTAACTCGGCGTCGTGATGATCGAGAAGAGAAGTGGATCACATTCCTCCTGCCAAATTGGGCCTGGTCTTAAATGCATCTTCTGACCTCTTATTTCGTCAAGTACGTTGATCCCAGCGAACTGTGTATCCCACTTCAAAGCTGCCGTTTATCGGTTCTCCAACGTTTGCAAGCGGACAGCATCCACTGGCGCAGCTCAAATTGAGCCTCGAACAAACAAGAAACGCTGCCGCCTCCAGGTATTATGCGATCGGCACTACGGCGGCGTCCGATATCCGATTGGGGGAGTGGGCGGGATTGCACAGACACTGGCAGACGGATTGGAGGAACTAGGGGGCAAGATCGCGTACAAGGCCAACGTAAAGCGGATATTGGTCGAAAATGGTCAAGCGGTAAGGCTGATATCCTTTCTTGAAATATTCTTGCAGCGATCTCTAGTCTTCTGCGTGCTTAGAATCTGCCGAAAGAGGCGACGCTCTCGAGAAGGTCAACACAGCGGATGTCAATACTGCATAGCAACTCTACAGATTGCTAAGAGTGCTTAATTGCAATTTTTCTTGACAGGCCTTCACCTTTAAGAGACGGATCTGAATGTTCAGTGCTAAAAGGGTTTACGAGAAAGGAAGTCGAATTCAGCGAACAGATTGGAGCGGAGCGGCTCTGCTTTCTGATACTGAACGGTCAAGAGTAGAGCTTGCCTGCTAGATTGGAGGCATGCACGAGCTTGTAATCTCGTGTCTGGTATTTGCTACTGCATCGATGCGTAATGGCGTCCCCTTGCAGCTATTTTGTTTGAGTTGTTTGCATCTTCTTTGCAGTCTGGGGTGCGGTTAACGGACGGGAGAGAGTACAAGGGCAAGACCATCATTTCGAATGCTACTAGATGGGACACTTTCGGTGAGCCTCGCTTCTTTCGCTTTCTACTTCTTTTTCTGCCGACTTTCACGCGAACGAAACAAACACGACGCGCTTCTACAGACACAGGCTGTCGAGATTTTTCTAACCGACAGCTTTTGATCCATACAGTCAAGCCGATTGGCTATCAAGAGACGGGAGGCCAAGGGGTGCGTTCCTTACTCAAAGAAGCGAGTTTTCTTTGAGCTACTCTTCCCCTCATTTCTTCTGGCTCTCTTTGGACCGTCTTATGCACAGTCCGAGGACCGTGACTCTTGTCCAATGCGTCTTTATTCCATGTCATTGCATCTCGCTGATGCACTACTTCCAGGAGGGATGCTGTCTGGTTGCCGTGATCGAGCCCACCGTACACGTTTTCTCGCTCCTGCAGAAAAGCTGCTAGAACCAGAGAACATGCCGGACGCCGAGAAGAAGTTCCAGACGCGGTACCGCAAGTCGCCGTCGTTCCTGTCGATCCACATGGGCGTCCGAGCGGACGCGCTGCCGGACGATTCGGACGTCCACCACATGGTGCTCGAGGTGAGGCAATATACTTGCACCTGTTGATCAGAGTTACGAGCGCTGTTGAAACCGCCAGCCGCTGATTTCGATAGCGGATGGCGCTTCCTTGAGCACCGTTTGATGGCAGATACAATTCCAGAAGCTACACACTTTGGACGAGTTGGACGTTTCGGACGTTTCCAGCAATTTTTTCCCCAAGGAGGGCATCTACCAATCCTCGGACGCCACCACATGGTGCTCGAGGTGCGGTGCACATTGTATTACCTTACTATCGCTTATCTCTTAAAGATGCTTGGGAGATTTGTTTTCCACTGACGCACTGCTAGTCGATTCAGACGTTCATTGCGTGGTGCTCGAGGTGAGGCGCTCTGTTTCTTAGACCTTTCTTGCGTCTTGGCAACTGTTGCTGAACAATCAACGGCGGATGGCAATTTCTTGGCCACCATTTACTGCAGATATCAATCTCCTGAAGCTACTAAATCGGGTTTCCGGACGTTCGGTCTTATCCTGCAACCTGATCTCGCTTAGAACCGACTCAGACGTCCATCACATGGTGCTTGAGATGAGGCGCTGCAATTGACGTTCTTTCCGTTTCGACCTGGGCACCAAAGGTTAGATCTGACGGCAGATAATAGTCTCGAGGAGCTACAACATCACTGCTTGGAAAGATCCAGAGTCTCTTTTGTCTTGGAGAATCATAATCTCTTAGAGCTAGAAGTTCGTCCATCGAACAGATCCAAGATTTGCATTCTGAATAGCAAGGGGTTTTTCAAGGAGGGCGTCATGCGTCACGTCCTACGTGCGGCGACTGTGAAGCCCGCGAGTAGCTGTTCTAGTCGCCCCATCCACGTTGCGACGTAGCTCTGGCGGCAACCGGAGTTCATGCCTAGGTTTGCCTGTTAGCGACGCTTTAGAAGGTTCAACGCCCTCTTCGTCGTGATCCAATCTCCGGAATTTTGACCTCGAAACCGCCTTCCTCAAGTATGGCGAGTCCGATGCGACCCGATACTCAAGGGTGACGAGCTCAAAAGTCGGCGTGAAAAAGGCAGTCACTAGATTTGACGGATATCGAGAACTGGTACAGGGCTGGTCGAAGATGGAGGATGCGTGTGGAAGCATTTTCGTGAGCATGCCCTCGAGACCTTTAGTTCCTACCCTCAAGTTCTTCGAGCTCGAATCCTACTCTTGAGAAGAAAGCGGCCAAGGCCATGAAGGAGTCCCTTACTCTTTGCAGGACTGGTCGAAAATGGAGGAGTCGTACGGGACCATTCCCGTGAGCAAGCCCCGATGATGAAGCAGTTTTTTGAGCTGTCGAGCTCAGTTCCATCTTTTGACAAGAAAGGTGACCAAAACCTGAAATTGCTCAAACCCTGTCCAGGACTGGTCGAAGATGAAGGAGTCGTAAGGGACCATGTTCATAAGCATCCTCGAAGTCGGCGAGCTTAAAACCCCAGATTTGAAAAGAAAAGCGACTAAAAAGCTGAAGGAGCGCCCCACTTCCGTGCAGGACTGGTCGAAGATGGAGAACTCTTACGCGACTATCTTTGTAAGCATTCTCGAATTGGTTGAGCTGAAACCCTAAGTTTGAAAAGAAAAGCGAGCAAAACCTACAGAGCGCCCCACTTCCGTGCAGGACTGGTCGAAGATGGAGGAGTCCTACCGGACTATCTTTGTGAGCATGCCCACGATGCTGGACCCCAATCGAATCGGTCATCAAATCGGTCGACTCAATTTCCACTTCTGAACAGAAAGGTGACCAATTCTTGAGATTCCAACCCTGTGCAGGACTGGTCGAAGATGGAGGAGTCGTTTGGGACCATTTGCATAAGCATCCTCAAAGTCGTCGAGCTTAAACCCTACCTCTGAAACGAAAAGCAACCAAAAAGCCGAAGGAGCGCCCCACTTTCGTGCAGGACTGGTCGAAGATGGAGGAGTCCTACCGGACTATCTTTGTGAGCATGCCCACGATGCTGGACCCCAATCGAATCGGTCATCAAATCGGTCGACTCAATTTCCAGTTCTGAAAAGAAAGGTGACCAATTCTTGAGATTCCAAACCCTGTGCAGGACTGGTCGAAAATGGAGGAGTCATACGGGACCATTTTCGTGAGCATGCCCACGATGCTGGACAAGTCGGTGGCGCCGAAAGACCGCCACATAGTGCACGCCTTCACGCCGTGCTGGATCGAAGAATGGGAGGTGAATCTCCGCAAAACAAACCTTGCCCTTCGCTTTAAAATCGGTCTCGCATTTGCAAAGGGTGTGATGAGGTGGCTGTTTTCGTAGAAATCGGGAGAGCGTGATTTTTTAGAACGGCTTGCAGCCTGGCGGCGTCCGAGACTCCCGTTCGTGCTTCGAGGGTTGTGCTCGTTTATGTGTCAGCAGAACTCGTGAGGGAGCGAAGAGTTCTTGCAGTGAGGATGTCCGAAACTATCCTTGAAGATTTCGGATGTGTGCTCGATGCACTCCGTTCCGCTCTATTTATGCCTCTTTGACGGCAGAGAGCATGCACGATGGCAGTCTGGAACGTTGAACTGACGGCATGATTGACAATTGCCTCTGCTATGGGCTGGTAGGCTATGAAAAGGAAAGCGCAGGTCCTAGCTGAGGGACTGCACTCGATCGCACTTGACCGATGTGGGCTCTTCGAAAGCTTCTCCGGTCATTCTTTTGTACGACCATCTGAGAGGTATTCCTACGAAGTCAAGCAACGTTGCTGGCCTCATTCTGGCTAAAGCGCTGAACGGTACCCAATCCTGAACTTCTAGCCAACCACTTGAGCGCAAAGTCCTTTGTTAAGGATAGACAATCCGACTGCCTGTTGAATTTTCTGAATTGTTGTTCTTACCTTCTGTGCAGGGCCTCTCGCCCGCCGACTACCGACAAAAGAAAGAACAAGTAGCCGACGAGATCGTCGATCGGCTAGAAAAGGGGTTAGGGTTCAAGGGTCTGAGACAAGCAACCGTCTTTCGGGAAGTGGGCACCCCGCGAACGCACCGAAAGTTCCTGGCGCGGGAGGACGGTACCTACGGACCGGTTCCCTCTCGGCGACCGCTGGGGCTCTTGGGCATGCCGTTCAACACCACGGTAAGCCATTATTAACCAGGGGTTAGTGCTGAACCACGGGTGTGTGCTGCTTGCGCATAAAACGTAATTAAAGTCGTCGATGGTCCCCTGTGATATCCGTACGCGATCCTGGGCTCTGCAATGTGTTGTTGCCAGCAATTCGGTGCTGAGCTGGCGACAAGGAGTTTGAGAGTTTGCACTTTGCAAAACGGCATCGGAGCTCAATCAGGACGCTCAAAGCAAACAATCAGCAGGAAGTACCCCTTACTAGTAGACGGGAGGGCGAGAAAGGTCGCGAAATAGTACGTAAGTCAAGCAGGCTAGTCAAGTGCGATTCGGAGAACAAAACAAGTACCACGCGTGTTTAAGTACTGCAAACAACAAGGAAGAGGACGGAAAGTTCTGCATACAACAAAGAAAAGTACGGGAAGACATCCCCGGTTCTTTCTATGCGCAGGCGCTCAAGGGTCTCTACTGCGTCGGCGACAGCTGCTTCCCGGGGCAAGGGGTGAACGCGGTCGCCTTTTCGGGCATGGCGTGTGCGCACCGCGTTGCCGCAGATATTGGTGAGAAGCGCCGAACGCTAAAATATCGTTCTCTGCGAACCGGTAATTGGCCCGTTTCTATTCCGAAGAGAGTTGGCAGATTCTCTTGGGCAAAGCGCGGCAGAGAATGTGGCCGTTTACGAGTGCAGCTTTTATAAAAGGTGATTGCACGCATGGGTAGGATAGGGGCCGAAGAAAGGACTTGAACGACTCCTTCGGGGTCCAAAACGTGCAGGTTGTGGGTCGGCATTGGCCAATTCAACCCCACCCGATTCAGCGGGCTTCGTTGTTTGCTTGAGGAGTTATGTTTGTGCGTTTAGAACGGCCATACATGCTGTGACAAAGAGACGGGTTCTCGTGAAGCGTTGTTGTTCGTGTGCAAGGCAGAGGCCGTCGCCTGGTGCCGCCGAGCAAGCTCAGCCCAATCATTGGCCGAACTTTGACTTTGCTGATTGCGACAAGCCCTTATATGTCAAAGGGGTACCTCCACAAATATGGAGAGGCCATGTGAATCAATCTGGTAGAAGGAGGATCATCACGATAATAGAAGCCCGTGATCAGGAGCTTTCCTAAAAACTTGGGTGTATTTATTTTGTGCAGGTCTTGAAAAGACAATACCAGTTCTAGACGGAGCCTTCAACAAGTTGCTATCTACCGTTAGGGACAGGGTTTGAGGAGCCCTCTCTGTATGCGGAAGGTCAAATGAACAAGAAGCACCATGAGTTCGCGACTCTGCGATGTAAATTTTGCGACTGGAGTTATTATTGGTCTTCGTTGGCCTCGGGAACTGGACTTACGTCAACACGAAGCTCCTTGTCAATCTTGCTTAAAATCTCTAAGGATTCTGGGACCCTAAGCTTCCTAGCAAACAAACACCGCATGTCTCCGTCTCGCATGTTTTGTATGTTTGTCTCACCAAGTATGATGTTTTCTGGTCCTGTCCCCCACAGCATGAAACAAGATCCATAGTCCTGCACCACTTTATCTTTGAAGTAGTATTGGACAAGCGAAACGATAAGATGCTCGCACGCGTTATGCGTGTACTTGAAGTATTGTGTCCACATCTTGGCTTCCGGCGAGTGAATTAAGTACTGTGCAAGGTCTCTAGGTACAATGACCATGTTTCCCCCCGCCTTCCCAAACTGCCAGCCAATCTGCAACTGGACTTCAAGCCAATCTACGCGCTTATACCCGTCTCGAAGCTGCCCATTGTCATCCGTCCAGCTCCCCAGTGCCGAGGCCTGCTGGTAGTAGACATGCCGCTCGTTTCGATACCCTTCGCAGTATGGCAAAATCTCCTTATACCGCCGTAGCTCAGCTGAAACGTGGATTGCACAAGTTTAGAGATGAGGAGCGGCAAGCAAACATGCAGGTCTTTTAGAAAAGTGGCTCTACAGAATACTACTGTCACGGTACCACAGCCGATCTTCCACAGAGACATCCCGATGCAAACCAGACCCTAACCAACTCCCGGGGCCAATTGTAAGCATGCACTATATGCACTTGCGCAGTACAGCCATTGCGCGGCTTATTCAATATTGCTCTGAAGCATCCTGTATTCCTGTTGAAGGGCTTGTTCCTGAATCCATGACTGACGTTAAGGCATTCGACTTGAACTCTGAAGACTTCATCTAACTTTGAAAGGCAGGTTAGAGGATCGGGGGGAGTCAACTTGCGTACCTCCTTTGTCTGCACCCACAGGGCTGATCTTGTACGGAAACTGTTTGAAGAAAATCTTGTCCCGCCTGTCCCAGAGCGTCTCCCTCAGCTTTGTGTTTGAGAGCAGGGGATAAGTCTGCGCATCCGTCAGAATGAAGTGCGTCCACCCCCCGACGTGGTCTAGACACCACCTCATGAACGGCCAAGCTGCTAGAACCTGCGATGAAGTCTCATAGACAACGCGGCCTAGCTGAACCAAGAACACATTGTCATGGTACGCACTATTCAGCTTTGTCGCGAGCTCTTGCGCGGCGGAGACCAACACTGGATCAGCATACTCTTGAGCGTCTACGTTTATGAGGAAGATGTGATTGGGGTGCTGTAGAGCGACAAGTGACCTCTCTAGCGTCGACACAAACGCATAAGAGGGGTAGAAAAAGATCAGCTTGTGGTCCGCTCGACTTGGTGGCTCGTCTAAACCTGAAGCAAAGTCTCTTGATGGTCGCACGAGGAAGTCCTTGTCTAGCGGAGACTGAACTGTTGGCGCCAGCGTCCAGTCACACCAGCCCTTTCGCCTGCTGGCAAACTCGAGGCAGTGGAACTCTAACACCTCCCCCATGCACTCCGGATTCCCAGAGTAATTCGCTAGCCTCTTGTCAAGGTACGCCTCCAGAGCCTGGACTCCTTTCTGGTGTGGCACGGAGCAGTGCACAAAGAAGTCCTCCGCGGTGCCACCCGAAGACGCTGCTTGACATCGATTGGGGAACGACCGGCGCAAAGCTGCTTTGGAAAGGTTTGAGGGCTGCTGCTGTTCTTCGACTCTAGGATGGTTAATCTGTGCCAATAGCAATTCAGAAGGGAGGCTCCCAGGCTGGTGCCACGCTTCTAGTGCGCTTTCATCAAGTGCTCTGATCCCGGAGGCCACGGTTTCTTCTTTCATGATGGAGCCTATGTAGGCTACGGACAGAAGAATAGACAAAACGAGCGAGACAGGCACAATGCGGCGTGGTCGGCAAGATGAATCCATGGCTGCTGCGAGTGCTGCTCGATTCATCTTTGATGCAACAGCGGGACTTCTGCGCCGCAAATGGCAGCGCCCTAGCTACATCAGTGTACGCTGAACTGTCAAAGAAGACGAGGAAGAGGCCAATATAATATCCCTGTGGCCCGGGGTCCTGGTCCGCAGGTAATGTACTACCACAGTGCCAGTGTGTAGGTACATAGTGAGGGGTGATGGATCGTCCCGCCTCTTTTCTGTGAGTATACACAATTACATGCTGAAGGTCTGAGACTGGCGTTACGCCCTAGGACTCAAGAGGAGCAGAAAGCGATCCCGCAGACTGTGAACGCGAAAGACGAGGCGGTGTCAAAAGGTATGAACGGTACAATTTCTCGATCTTACACTCGGACGTTTTATACTGATACTGACGTCTGATACTGATACATAAAGGGCATTTTCATATTTAAAGTAACTAATTGTGTGACGTCTAATACAGCATCTACTCTGTACACCGACATTGACAGTGATGTCAGTGTCCTTCCTCGAAGAATGGAACTCGCAATCTGCGCTTAACAAAAAGAGAAGATGCTTTGAGTCTCTAGGATACTCGAACCTAGGATACAACAGAGGCCAACCTTTTGTGAAACTTTCTGCTTTGAAAGCGGCGCCATTGGCACCAGCTGTTAACGTCATTTGTCTTCTAGACTACGTAGCTATAGAAAGATAGCGGCAAGTAGGCACTTCATAGACGCAGCACGCGGCATGTCAATTGTTTCAGCATGCTGCTGCGCTTAAGCTTAACCGCTTCATGTTTGGAGCCGAAACAAATAAGAGTAGCCCTTTAATGCAGATTGGAAAGCGGCTTGTACGTGAGAGAAACGACATGGGAGCGAGACTATCATTGGGATGTAAAATTGATAGTCAATCCAATGAGAGTCAGAACTTGTTGGCTCCACTTTTGTCAACAGGACTATGAGGAAGCCCCTCCGGGGGAGGGTGCCTATCTAGACGCGTATCACGTGCCAGTGAGCCTGGCCTGGCTTGGACTCACACTATCGGCATGACAACGGGCCGTATGAAGATGACAAGTCTTTCGTTGATGATGACATGAGTAGGCACGCCGGTCAAGCGACGGTTGGGTGCCGGTGCTGACACCGATAGTGGACCACGTCTTAGAACGTTCTCAGGGCCGGAAAGTCCGACCAGAACTGATTGTTCGAGTTCGGCTTGCAGAACGTTAAGTTCGGCCGGGCATATAGACGTTAATAAGAAGGGCTTTTTTCAATCCACAAGTGCCGTCAAAGACGTCTATAGATATTATATGTATACGTTGAAGCCGCTCGTTCCTGGTAATTGAATTTGCCTTCACTATAAAATCCGCATCGATCATGAATTCGGGAACTGGACACAACAAGTAAGCTTTTAGCTCAGTACGGTCGATCAGCAATAGGCAGCTCTAAGTGTCGGTGTATTAACGGCGTTGAATGCTTCGGAGAATGGACATGCGGCATGCCGCATGGCAGACGATTGCACACTATCGAATTTGAAATAATTACGAGTTTGTGTAGGCGGCCGCTAGCTTGGCCGCATGTTCAATCGTCCTCGGCATTCGATCAGAGTGCCAAGTCCGAAGGCAGGCCATAGCCTATTGCACATGAAACGCTGGCATGCATTAAATACATGATGCATGCCGACACATGCACAGTATTTTAACGCATTAGGCAAAAGCGGCACCGGCGCCTAGCTGGCCAATCTGACTCGATGGCAGCCCCGTACATGCACGCATCCTGATTCACAATGGATGGCACTCAGGTAGTATATCTCCAGACGGTGGACCGTCCCAGAGTCGACTCAGATTGGTTCGGCCACCTAAAACGGATATAACGGGGCGGCACTGCTTAGTACACGTCGTTGAACTTGTTGACAATGAACCATCGTCGAATATATATTAGCACGATCCGCACCGTCATGCCACGCCTGGCGCAGTTGACAGCTGAAATGTAGCGAGGCTGCCAGCGTTGTTTCTCCGAGTCAGTGCGTGACGGCCCGACAGATTGCATCCCGAAAACGTGGCCAAGCACCGGGGAGCCTCTGTGCTCAACTAGCAACTATGGTCTTCGTCGCGATTCCTAAGCACAAGTCACCATCAAAGGCAGTGTCTACTTGCATGTGTTCCTCTCAAAGGCCCATCGCTTTCATCTGCTCCCGGAAGTTGACCTTGCGTTTCTTCTTCGGGGTTGCCTCGCTCACGGAACCAGCTTCCGCCCGAGACGCATCCTCCGCTAACCGAGCGCCAGAGGGCGGGTCAACCGCCCCTAACCCTCCCCTCCTGTCGTCTGCTGAAGTCGTGTCCGGGAAATGCGGAGCTGACATTCTCGTTTCATCAACAACAACAGAGGCCCTTTCCGCCGATGCATGTCCCAGTTCCCCCTTGACCTTTCCTGGGTCACTCGCCGCGTCCCCCTCCCCGTCTTCTCTCCCCCACTCCGGCTCCGCCACGTGTCCCCCATCGAAGCGTTCCCCAGGACCCACCTGTGACTCGGGTCCCTCGATCTGGCTAACGGGTTCGTCCTTCACCTTCACCCCAAAGACGCTATCCGGCTCTCGACTTGTATTTACATTCCCGGCGTCTCGTTTCCGAGTGAATAGAGCCCTCGTTCGAACTTTTCTCTCGTCCTCAGCCCCGGTTCGATTCGTGACGTACCGGTCCAAACCCTTCGTTTCGGCATCCCCTTCTCTCCAAATACCTACCGGTCCCGGATCTTCCGCTTCCTCTTCTTTCACTTCCTCTTTCACCGCAACTGTTTCCCTCCTGCCTTTCCGTCGCTGCCTGATTCCTTCCCCGGTAAATCCGCCCACGTCAGGTCTGACGTCACCGTCCGGTTCCGGTTTCGGTTCCTTATCCAAACCCAGTCCGTCCGCACCTTCAGCATTCCCTCGGTCCTCGAGACTCAGCGCTTCCTCCTTCACCTCTGCTTTGACCTCTGCTCTCGCCTCCGTTTTCGCCCTTCCTTCGTGATCCTCTCCTTCCGAATTTTCCTCACCAACCTTTCGCAACCGGCCCCTTCCTCTCCCCTTCTCTTGTCTCTGCCGCGTCTCCAAATCCAATTCCCCGGGCTTTGATTCGCTCTCCTCCAGGCTGACGTCACTCCCCTCGTCCCGTGACGTCAGCCGCCCTCGGGCCGCGACCGCCGCCGCCCTCCTGGGACGCAGCGCCAGAGCCAGCGCCGGTTCCGATACCCCCGCCCCCTCGCTCTCCCCGCTGACGTCATCATCGCCCTCGGCTGACGTCAGCTTCGTCTTGGCCGCCCGGCTCCTCTTCACGCGGAGCATGAGCACCTCCTCCTCTGTTTTCACGCCGCGTCTAGTTCCCCTTCCCCCTCCTGTGCCACCGGCCTTTTTCCGCCCCCCTTTCGGCGGGGGCTTCATGTTCAGCGCGTAAATGTCGGGCTTCGCTGACGTCACCTCACTCCCTGTCCCGTCCTCCCGCTCATTCTCCACTTGGATGGAACCCCCCACTTCGGATTCTGGCAGTTTCTGCCCGATTGAATCTCGGCGGCTTCGGACTTTGATCACGCTGGGGGGGGCCTTTTTGGCGCTTCTTGGAGCAGGGGGGCGCGTGTTGAGTTCGTAGATGCTGGGCTTGGCTGGGGTGGGGACCGGTGACGGGTTCCCCAGGGCTTCGTCGTCGCTGCTCATTTCCGGCTGGGGGCTCGGCACTTCTTCCATTATGGGGTCAACGGAATCTCCGTCTTCAGACCTGCGGTCAACAACAAGAGGGCTAATCAACGACAACAGACAACTGAACCTCGATGAATTGGAACAAAAGCGGAAGCAAGGCTCTCCGACGAGAAGCCCCGTCAACGAAAGAGAATCAGCGATGGAAACGGAGCGGAACCAAAGCGACTTTTTCAAGGAACGTGAATGGTATATCCATAGGAGGAAAACGAGACGACGGAAAAGTGAAAACAGTCTTTGGACACCGCGAGTGGTTCGTAGCTGTAAAGAGGCTAATACGCATTGGGTCGGCTGAAACTGCGCTCCTACTTTGACTGCTGCAAAGAAAATCGCAGATGATGGTGGGCTTGCGAACGCATCCGCCAAGAAAGCTTCTCACGATTTGAAAAGTGGAAGATTTGGAACGCCGAAGTGCGGAAATGGGCGCTCGCCCAAGCCTCGATAAACAAGGAGCACCGCTGCAACTTCACAAACAATATCGCTCCGGTAGATGAGCAAAAAGAGGTTAAATCAAAAGCGGATCAGGTCATAGCAAAGCATTCACCAAGTCAGCCCGGGTGAAGAGCAGAAATGTAAAAAGCGGTCTTCCTATTGCCCACCTGATGAGGTACTCGGTCTCCTTCACCGGTCGCTGAATGTCCCGGCACGCCTCCACCCAAAAGTGGCCCACGATCCTGATCCTCCGCTCGCGCAGCAAGGTCCGCTCCCTCGCAGTCAGACTGCAAAAACGGATAGTAGAAGAACAATAAGGATTACCGGGCCCTTTTCCATAATCTTCAAAACCACCCGACGTCGTCCTTTTCTGCTGATGTCATCGCTGACGTCATGCCTGGCGTTTCTTGAACCGTTCATTCTTCTCCCGCCTTCGCTGCTCGTGTCTGACTTCGCTTCGGTGTCAACCTTGACGTACTCTTTGCCTCCGCTGCTCAAAGCCGACGTCACTCATATGTCGTTGCTCAACTCGTCCGTCACCACCCCGTCATCGCTAGAGGTGAATTATGATGGGATAGTTCACCTCTAGCGACCATGTTGTGCGTCGCCAGGAGCTGCTCGTTGCAAACACCATTACTTGCTTGACTACACCCGCTATCGTTGCTCGAGCCGCTCTCCATATTCACACCTTTCGCCGACGATCAGGGACGCTTGACTGGATATCAGCGCCGAAAGGGCCGAAAGGGGCAAACCATGGGGAGCGAATCGGATCGATTCTGAGGGACGCTGATTCTCACCTCCTGACGACCATGTCGTGCGTCACCGGGTAGTCCGCCGTCGCGAACACCACCATGTGCGTGACGTCATCCGTGAGCTGGTCCAAAACCGTCCCGCCGTACATGCGGACGTCCAGCGCCAGCCGCCGGAGGGCAGCGGCCGCGACCGCCTGGGAGTCCTCGTTGCTGCAACGGGGTTTTGGTGTGTGGGTTAGGAATTTGGTTGTGGGCTTTAACCGGTATTTAGTGGGCAGGTTAGCACTTTGTCGTGAGTAACTAGGACAGATATTGATTCAGAAGATTGAATACTACGAAGGATAAACGCTAAGGGCCATAGGGTCGTGAGCGTCGTGGGGTCCTTGTTGCTACAACGGAGTTTCGTGAGCAGGCTTAGCGCTTTGTACTAAAGGCACTAGATAAGATGATTGGTCAGAAGAATTGACATTCCAGAATCAGAGGGCTGAATTGAAGATTAGCAGGGTCCAGGAGGGTAGGAATGTAGGGATACGACGACAGGTGTCAGGGCAGGGGTCGACAATGCACGAAAGTCTACTTATTGCATGAGATAGATATTCAAAGACAGAGAAGGGTCTCTAAAATACAATCTTGCTACTTGGAGAGATTGGGTATCGCAGAAGGGGCCGTTGAGCAGGGACTGAGTCTGAACGGGATTTTAGAAACTTGGCGCCAAAAGGGGCCAGCCACCATCAAAGTAAGCACCAATGATTTGAACGGTACGTGTGTCGACCTTGCTGCTTCTCTAGCAAAGGAGGGTCGCAAAGAGAAGCGGGTTTCGGATGCTCTTACCCCAGTATGCAAGAGCATCTCACAGTAAGAACTTACAGTATCCGGAGAAAAGCAGAGCGCAAAAACACGCGCGCACCTGGAGTGGATGGGCCGGTGCATGTACACGTGGCAGCCCCTGAAGACGCCCCAGTGCGTGCCCCGGTCGTACTTGTCCTCCAGCTGGGTGATGCTGTGGGCCGGGAGGTGCAACCGGCTGGGGTCCATGTTACAGAAGAGCTGGAAACGGCGGACGAGTGACGTCATGTTGGGGTTGCAGGGAAGGGCCAAGATTGTGTGTTTGGGAGGCACTGGAGTTACCTTAAGGAACCCAACGACAATCCGCTGCGATTGAAAGCGTTTGCCTTTTGAGTCTGCTGAGACTGGAAGCTTAGACCTTCGTACCTGCTTTTCTCTTAAGAGTCCCTTAACTTTCAAGAATCAACAAGCGGCATGTGAGGCCTTCAGAAACTTCCGAAAGAACGCTTCGCGCCCGTGTAGAGCTATGTTCGCAACTTTTATATTGCAGCCTGACAAGACATGCATGGACTTGCTTCCCTGAGGAAAGGACTGCCACCCGTTGACGTCACAGCTTCAACGGGCTTGATAGCTTGACACTGTTTTCGCAGACAGTGCAACGCCTCACCTGGGCCAGATCGCCGGTGTCAAGGTCGTCGCAGTAGCTGTCCCCGTACTCGTCAATCTGGCTGCGCAGGTCCTGCCGGGTGACCTCCGACAGGTGCAGATAGTACCTGGACAAAACGTGTTTCCAAGTCTTAAGGGTGCGCGTCGACCGAAAAGCTGCACAAAGCTTTCCAGATTTCTTAGCCAATCGGATGGCTTTTCGGATCCACGTGGTATGCCGAGGTGCATACCAAAGGAGTAATAGTGG